TTATTGTTTTTATCCCCGGCTTACAAGTATTGTATAAATGTTAACATACGCTTCTTGATACTTTTATTGTTTGTAAATATATGAGCCAGGGCTGGGCATTTTATCCGTTAATTTTGATTTGATGCTTTATCTGTTTCGATTCAATCCAGATATTCGTAAACTTTCGAATCAAAGTAAATAATAAAAATTAATATCCGTTAAAATCAAAACAAATCACAAATATTAAAATTTTGAGAATCAAATATCCGATCCGATCCACAAATATATAAATACATGTATATCTTGATTATATTTAAAATTTTAAATGTATAAAATTATATAATTATTATTCTAACATATTATTTGACCAATTCTATTCACACTATTAGTTATATAAAAGTACTACATAAAAAAGAAAAGAAATTTTATGAAATTATTATTTTATTAGTTTATATTATTATAATATTTAACTTAAACTTAAAAAATTTACGAAATATGTAAATTCACAATTTCTTTAAAATTTGATTTTATATATCATATAAAAATATTTTAAAATAAATTTCTATCAAATTTTTAAGATTATTTGTATTAATCAAAGTGTAAGTATTCGTAAATATTCGCAAATCTCTATTTATTTTCTGGATATCCGAAAATCGGATATCCGTATAGTTCCAAAGCAAAGCAAATACCCAAATTAGATATCCATAACATACGAAACAATCACAAATACCTTCAAAAACTTGGATATCCGTGTCCACCCCTAATATGAGTATTATTTGAAGAAAAAAGCCACAAAGGAGAGCAGAATAAGCTATTAAACAGTGGGAACCAATTCTAGAGCATCAAAATTTCTAGCTTTCCCTGACAGACTTCCCATTCATGGTATAATCTAGAAACTTGGACACAAGATATTCTCAAAAGTTAATTTCATATAGAAGCATTTTTAAGTCCTTTGGTAAAAAGAAAAAAAAAAATCTTAAGCATCCCATATAACGGGTGAAGAATTGTGACGAGTTTGGTAAAACAGTTCAAGCAGCTCGCATGAAGCTCGGCTCAAAAACCAAGTGCCCCGACTTCAGCTTTTAACCATGTATGAATAGTTTTCTTGGACATAAAAGTTTGAAGTTTTTTTCATAGATGATTGAATTACATTTGGATGTTATCTCTTGGATGTTTTTTATTTGTATTTATTGTATTTTGCTTGATTTGTGACCTGGTATATCTTATTGCTGAGTCACCCACTAAGAATATTGTTAAATTGTTTTGAACCAATATTAGATGAACCAAATATTATAACTTGTGAGAGATGATCGTACTTTGTGAACTTATTAATGGATTTAACTTTTTAGTTGCCTAAAGAGATTTGGTGCAACAAAAGTAGAGTAGTTAGATATCATGTCAATTAATTCGTTAAACTTTTGATAATTAATATACTCGCTGCGTATAAATCATGTTTGATAGTATAGTTTAGTCTACCATTGGTTTCTAAAAAAAATTGTATGTTGAAAACATATAAACGACTAATTTCTATTTCGCTGGAACTTTATTCCTCACCCCCCGCCACCAAAAAAAGAAGAAGAAATTTTACAATGTCCTAATAGTTAATACAGTATATAAAAGAAAAAATCTCTAAATGTATATATATTAGAAATTTGTTAAACTCAAAGATTCACAAATCAAATATGTAGCTCAGTTTCTATAATTAATTGATTACATTTTCTTTTGGTAAATTATTGTTTTGTATTACAGTCTTGAGTTTTCTGTTTATATATATACTCTTTTTGTATATATATCTTATATATACTCTTTTTGTATCTGAATACATCTTATATTCTTATGTATAATAAATTTGTAAAAATGAGGAAAATATCAATGAAAATAACTCAAAAGATCTTGGAAAATAAGAAAACAATAACAATTCGAAAATTAGACTTAGTCGTTCTGTATGATTGCAAACTGCCGCAATTCGTCAGACTTGATTTCCTGACAGTCAGTTTTATTGTCCTCTCTCTCAAAATAAAGATCCCAAATCCATCCAGAAGTTGGACACAAGACCACAAAACTTAAATACTTACAAACATAGGCCACACTAATGAATAACATTTAAGATTCAGAATCTTGATTCTCATTCAAGAACTTGAGTCAGGAGAGCACAACTTCATTAATAAGAAATTAAGTTTGGGTCTGGTTTATATTACTTTCTGTAAAAAAATAATTTACTCAGAGAGCCAGAGAGAGAGAAAGAGAGCAAGTACATTAGGGACCAGGGAACCATGGCCTTAATCAATGGCGTCGTTTAGGGAGAATATCAAAAGCAAATTCTGTTTAAAGTGCTGAATCTGAAGTACAAAATGTGAGGACTTGATTTGTTATGTTTTGCTTTGTTGTCATAAGTAGAATCTGCTCAACTAACTACAGAGGATAGGAGCAGTTAATTATAATAAGTTCAATTTGACGTTTAAAATCAAAATAAAGATTTAAGTAAACATTAAGTTCGTGATTTATCATTTGCCAGACATGTGTGTGCATATGAGAAAGTAGATTTGTAGGTTTCTTGAAAGTTTGTTAGCTAATCACTTTCTCATGAGACAAAGTTGTCATTATTACGAGATTAATATATAAAGTTGTTTTGACAAAATCTTTATATAAATATTTAAGTTAGAAACAGGAAGGTTGGTGGAAAACCCTCCACATGAATTTATAACTAGATTTTGACCCGCGCTTGAAAGCGCGGAAATTTTTTATGATTAAAAATTTATATAATTGTGTTTTGTCTTATTTTAAAGAATATTTTGATATAAAATCAGTTCACCAAAATTTGTGGTGATGATTATTTTTCATTAGTTTTTGGTTTCAATTTTTATTTTTAGATTTTGGTTTGTGGTTTTTGGTTTTTAGGTTTTAAGTTTATAATTTTCATTTTCAGTTTTTGGTTTGGGTTTTTAATTTTTAAACCTGCTGAGTTAGTTTAAACTAATATTACCAACAAACAAATCTCAAATAATCGAACATCTAATTCAAAACTGAAAAGATGACAACAAATTTAAAATAAAAATTTGAAATATTTTATTTTGTAAATAAACAAAGCAAAAAAATATAACATGTGTTTTCAGCTTTTGGTTTTGGATCTTAGTTTTTAGATTTGGTTTTTGGTTTTGCTTTACATTTTTTAATCAGTAAATTATTTAAGAAAAATAAAACAATAGACTATTTAAAAGTTACCATTGAAATTTATCAAAACAAAGTGATTGTTATTTAAAAAAAAATATTAACATGTTTTAAAGTACATGATTTAAATAAATGATTAATAATATATAATTTTGTTTTGTTAAAAATATTAAATACCTTTTGGGTCTGAAAATAATAATTGATTTTTTCATCTTTTAAGGTGAAAAGTTTATTCAATGTTTTTAGAGGTTTTTTCTTAATACTAAGTCCAAAAACCAAACTATATAATTTATTCAAAAAATAAAAATAAGCCCAAGACTATATTTCACAAATAACCACTGGTTTAATTTAAGTATAATTAGTAGATTTTCTTATTCCATATTTTGATGATATATATTCTTTTAGAACATTCCATATTTGTAGGAGAAAATATGTGTTTTCGGTATACACATAGATACCTGCCATATTTTGAAGGTAGTTTACATTAAGGTCGTTTCTTTACATTAATTGTGTTGGTTTAATTTAAGTAATATGGTTCAACCAATTATATGACTTATATTATTTGTAACATTCTAGAATGGGTCCAAATTTAAATGACAACTTGTATCAATAGATAAAAAGAATGACTCTAATTTAATAGAGTAGATATTTATTTTGGAATGTTTCCACAAGATTTACCAAGTCATATCCATAATTTGTTTAAATGCTTATATTTATCTCAATCTCTATTTTTATTCCAATTTCTAAACTTGTACAACCCAAAACATCAACTTCTTTAATGATGTCTTAGACAGTTTTGTTCCTATTAAAACATCAATCATAAAACATTCTGAACATTCAAAAGAAAAACCAATCATATCATTTTTAAGTGTTTCCTTTTCGAATTCAGTATAACACACTATCCAACATGTTTTACATAAATAAAGAGGAAGAAAATTCACATATTAAATACAAATGAAATAATGTTTTTCTTTTTTATCTTGAGTTTACATCTGCAATTAGCGACTGAAATAATCAACAACTAGACATAAAACCGCTTTCAGCTAAGAAGTACCAAGATAATCAGATTTGGTTTTGACGAGACCACCCTTAAATCACTTGACCGAGGTAGAAAATAGAAAACAGATGTATAGCTTGGCTAAGGTCTGTGGGAACGAACTTAAGTGCTTTATTGAAACCACATGGGTGGCACAAAGCCAAACAATGACCCCTCGATAATCATTATAAAGACTGTTCTTCTTGTTTTGGTATCAAAACGGGTCCCAAAAGGAAACTTCCATATTAATTTTGTGGAGGACTCACACAAAAACTAGAAGCCTGCATAAGGTCATCATTGTATATAGTTTGTAACTTTCTGAAACAAACCCCATACCAAGATACCCACTTTCGTGTCTTAAAAACGTTTTTGTCTGGTAATGTCTGGTTTGAAGTCTCTCTCAACTGCATCTGCAAAGATCTCTCTACCTGGCATTGATTTCTACGCATGCCTATTTGAAGAGAGATGAAGCGAATAATAGATGCAGCTCTCATTAACACACCAAATAAACGACACATCCGCTAGATTTGGAAACCAAAATTTCAAGAGATATTCCATAAAGAAAAAATAAAAATAAACAAAGAACAACTGCATTGTTTTTGAATAGAATATGTTCATGCGTTTAAAATTGTATGAGCAAATTAGTACCAACCAGAGAGGAGCTATTTTCATGACAGGACATATGAAGACGAGACCACAAATCACATGATATATGAAATTTACTAGGAGCCTCTATGAGCAAAGGCATAACCGCACTGAGGGCTTAATACATAAATTACTCGAGTCTCAAAAAACCAAGGCTAAGGAATATAGAAACGTGCAAAGTGATCTTATTTTGTAACGAAATATAGTTGTATCAAGGAGAAATAATCTTACAAAAAAAAAACATTTGATTAATAAGATAAGAACCCAAGGAAAAGGATGTGACAACATCTACCAATACATGTATCAGGGGTTCCATCTAAACTGAAACATTGCAAATGCTGTTGGCAAATTTAACTTAAAAGAACCTGAATTTTGTTGAAAACACAAAAAAAATAGAGCAAAAAGCCATCCATCCATCCATCCAGCTACTTCAGGTGCTGCCTCTTTAGATGGGACTAACATAGTTAACAAATCTACCTGTCATGAAAAGATGCAAAATTGTTAGAATCTTGAACAGGAAAAGACCATTTTGATTTTCTTGTCTCTCATTCAATTTCTAAAATCTAAAATCACATCCTAAATAAAGAGATACAAAATGTTGCCTCTTTCTCAAGGAAACACAACTAAAGAGATTTGATCTGAAGCTCAGACATCCCAACACAGTCAAATGTTGCATTTTTCTCAAATGAACACAAGTAAACAGAAATTGAACTGAAGCTAAGACACTCCAACACAGCCAAAATGTTGCATTTTTCTCAAGGAAACACAAATCCATAGATTTAATTTGCAGAAATTAACTGGAACCAATCATATACCACAAGAAAGAGTTAGCTTATTGTTGTGTTGTCTATGTAATTAAGACTATTCCAAACACAAATCAAAACCAAAACTCAAACAAAAACAGGTTTTGGTTTGAGGTATAACCTTCAAAAGAGGTGACATCAGAAGGGAGCTTGGAAACAAGACAAGCTGCAGCAATGACGCTATGAAATGGTTGATGCGTGCTTAGTTCTCGCCTCAGCATTAACCTTTTTCACATTCATTACAAAAAATTCCAAACTATTTTTTTAATTAATCACAAAGAAGTAAAGCAGATTTAGATAGAATAATGCTTAATCGAATTGAACCTGGGAGTAGAAGAAGCATCGATTCGAGTCTGACGAAGAGGGGGAGATGAGGAATTAGGGTTGTTTGGGGAGGAGATTCTAGGTCTAGGTGAGATCAAACTCCCTCTGGTAGCGGTTCTTAGGATGGAGCCTAAGGATCTAGACCTAGAAGCGATGCTCGTTGCACTCATCTCTCTCTCTCTTTTCTCTTTCTCCTTCTTCTGCAAAATCCTCGGTAAACCCTTGCTCACTAGAGATTGGATTTGCCGGTTCGATAACCGTATTACTTAAACCGGAATTATTCGGTTTGCGGACAAACTTGTAATCTTGACTTGAACAAACACGTTATCTAAATCTGGTTTCAATTCCGGTTTAGAAATCAAATTGGTATAATTTTGTTTTGGATGGTTTGTAACGAGGACATGAATTTATTTATTTTTATGAATAATCGAAATTGAACAGACAAAGAAAGTTTTATTCAAGAAATCTCAATTACTCACAAAAATATCACACGAGCACTATTAATATTAAGGTAAACATCTTCTCTATTAAAAGAGGAGTACCAAAAAATCTACTGTACAAAAGTCATGTTGGACCATTTCATTAATTATTTATATGACATATTGGATTGTTTATATCAACCATTCAAATATATATTATTTTTAAAATATCTTGATAATTAATAAGGATATTAATAATAAATCAATTCAAATATAAAAAAATTAAATCAGTTGAAAAAATCTAACAAGATCTTCCCAAAAGTTTAAATATTTTTTTTATAAAATAAGTATTTCTTAGTTTTGTGATTAAATATAATGTACATTAATTTTAATTAAATAAAATTAGACGCTATATTTTGTACATTCTCTAATAATAATCTATATTATCTTACATTAAAATGATATATGCAATAAAATAAATTAGTAAAGTAACCTATTTTATTTTTTAAAACTGCTTTCGTCTAAATAAATATCACTAACTGTTCAAATGGGTTAAATTTTTTAAATCATATAATATTTTTTACAAAAAAAAATTGTTAACATATATATAATTTTGTAGCTCACAACAAAATATTATCTAAAAATATTTATAGATTATTTTTTTTATTTTTTTAACTCCCAACAGTATTTAAAAATTATGCTATTAGAATATTTTGAAATTTTATTATTTATTAAAAAAATTACTAACAAATCCATTATAACAATAAATGTATTTTTTATTTACCCTTAAAATATTGAAAATATAAATTACTGAAATTTGATAAAAAGAATATTCAAAATTAAAATAAAAATGGATTAATTTAATAAAAAGAATATTCAAAATTAATATAATCATCCAAACTCAAAAATAGTTGTCTAATTTTCCAAATTTATATTGATAAGATTTATAATTTTAAAAATAAATCTTCCAAACTCATTATGATATTCAAATTTTACAAAATATAAAATATCAAGTCCTAAAGTATTTTTTTTGAAATGCCTCACGAAAATAAATATTTTGTAAAAATTGTAATAGTATAATATTTGAAATTTTAACTCATTAATTAAAAAATCAGAAAACTTAGTAATAACTTAATACCCTAACATTAAAACAGCATCATATATCGATCAAATTACTAAAATAATACTATAGATGCTGTTATGCATAACATTTATTAAAATAATATGACTAGACTACTTAAATTAAATATTGTAGTTACTTATAAAATCATACAATATACCAGAATGATAGATTTAAGTATATTTTTAAATAAAATATGAAAGCATAAGTTATTATAAACAAAATATCATTCTAATGTATAACTAAATAAAATTTAAAAATGATGCAAACTATCAAAATTAGAAAAAGTATGTTTTGTACGTGATTTTCTATTTATCTATTTTAAATTATGAACTTATTGTAACTGAACTCAAAAATATATTAATATGCAATAATAATTAATAACAAAGTTTAATGCATACAAAAAAACCATTATATATTAATTATGTTGAATAAGAAACTTAAAATATTAAGATTAAAGATTCATACAAAATATACAACTAAAATATAAATCATATAATTAAATATATTTTTATAAAATGAAAAATATACCCGTACGGATGTGCGGGTCAAATTCTAGTGATTTTTAAAGGATTAGCTTAGCATTGCCGTTGATCAAAAAAAAAAAGAGCTTAGCAAGGCCAAGAAGAGTTGGATTCGGCTACTCGGGTTTTCTTCAAGTCCGGTTCTATTTGCAGATTCTGGCTGCTTGGTTGTATTATTCTCTTTTGGTTATCACTTTCTTGAATCTACTACAAGCCAATGAAAAAAATGTAGTTTAGTTTATGATCAAAAACGTATATATATGCAAATGTGTAGGTTCTTTTGCCTTGTTGAGTTTCTCCCTGACAGTTTTAACCGTTTGATTCATTGAAGATGACGCAAAATATTCCTACACGATCCAGTTTTTAAAACCCTTTCTTTGTTACAAAGAAACAGAAGCCAAAGTTTTAAAATGAGCAGAATTCAAAGACAGACCTGGTCAGATTAGACTCGAGTCATGGGAGCGTTTCTTCTATGGAATTGATACTCCACATCTCTTTGCAAACTCCAAAGAGAGAGAGTAAGATGGAATCTGTCATGATGCATTTATTTGACACAAAGGAAGGACCACGTAAACAATCATTTTTACTTTTGTGTGGAGAAATTGTCCGATTTTGTGTCTTGGGAGGGGTTCTTGGCTGCTCACAAAATGAAACATACAGAGTTGTCGAGTTCATATTGTTATTTCATCATTGCTTTTCTAAACCCATACTAATCAAAAACCCGACATTAGCTTTGCAACATGTTGTGATAAAAGTAGTTTGACAAGGAAAAACTTCCAGTAAGTTAAATACAATTCAAATACGCAACGGTAATGAACTCAGCCAATTGACATTTTTTAGATCATACTAATCTACGGAGTAGACGCAATCTTTCTTGTTGTTGCAAAAATAGAAAAGCTTACGGTTGTTTCTTGAAAGAACTTGTGTCCTCCTTGTTTCTAACTTGTCCTTTGTGTCAGTAAGGCTCTCAAACTCAGGAGCATATGAAACCTGGAGGCGATTCCCCAAGAAAGCTGATTTATCCAACTTCCTCTTTGAAAAATCTATCAAACAAAAATAAACATATATCTTAAACTAAACAAAGTCTCCCTCTAGGAACAAAAAGTAGTAACAAAGTTAGGAAGATAGAATAATTCCGACAGCTTACGCCTAAAGATATCAATCAACACATCCCTTAGCTCCTAAAGACAGAACAGCATGATGTTCACCATACATTAGTTTGGAATCACAAAAAAAAAAAGAAAAGCAAAATGATCATCAAAGAGAAACAAGAAGAAGAGTAAAAAGACCTGGCATTAGAGATGAGACGAAACTTGAGCCAGAAGCATCAGTAAACTCCTCACATTCTTCTGCAAACACCAGCAACAAGAAACAAATCGATTACACCTTGATTCATCGCATACTGTATACACCCTAACCGCACCCATCTTTCCTTCTGCAATTCTTATAACGCCAAGTAAATTTTAATCAGAACCGTAACAAGGACACCCCAAAAGACAAGTTTTTCAACACATGGGAAACACACTCAGAGGATTCACAGCTTTGATCAAAGTAGAATCTAGGGTTTGTGAGTGAGACTCAAGCTTCGAGCGATTCTGAAGATGGATGCAAATCCCATAACCACTGTACCTTTCGAATAGAAGGACCGGTTCAATGCAGTGAGATTATAAATACTAAACCCGGTTTAAATCAATTTTTCGTCTTACTGCTCGATTAATAAACCAAGCCGGGGTTGTTGACATTTTTTTAGCGTTAAGCCCTGGTCTGGCCCAGTTAGCATTGGCCTTTTTAAATTTAGCATATGGTCATCATCATCATATAAATAAATGATCGTTTAGTTTATGCAGAAACTAGTTGTTGCTTTTGATTTTTATTTTGTTTGGTTTTTATTAGATCATAAACATGATTCAGATAAGCTTGTACTTGGTTTTACGACAACAGAAAAGTTAAGTATTTGTTTTTTTAAAAGTAATAGTACTTTCCTTTTTAATATTTTAAACCAAATAGTCCGCAATGGATTTTATGACATCACGAAATTATGTAAACAGAGAAAAGAAGAAGATGAAATGTTAAAATCAAAATCTTTAATGTTAGATTTACTGAAAATCACCCATTACCTTTCTCTCTCTCTTTCTAAAATATCACACTCAGTGTTACTTGTTAGAACTTCTCACTCTCTCTCAGACACAACTCTCTACTTCGTCTCTCTTCTCTTTCTTCTTCTGTTTCTCTTTTTAAAAAAAAACAAGTTCCCATTCTTTCTACTCTCGCGACAGAGATTTTCTTTTACAGATCCAGAAACCAAACACTCCACTATGCACTCCTGAGCAAAAAAATAATGTCAAGCTCCGACCCAAAACCCAAACCCAAACCCAAACCCGGTCCATGGCCTCCAGCTCCAGAATCCTCCGCATTGCCACCGTCTACTTGGGCCAAACGAACCGGCTTCCGTCCCAAATTCTCCGGCGAGACCACCGCCTCTCATTCCGGCCTACTCTCATCGCCTGCTTCCGCCAGAGCTACACAAACCCTGCCGGATCTCGAAGCCGGCCAGCCTCGCCTCCGTCCTCCTCCTGTCTCCTCCGTAGCTGACGGCGAGTCTGATAAAAATAAGAATGACAAGCCACCACAACCGCTACCACTACCTACTCCAGCTCCGGTTAAGAGACGGAGAGATTCTGATGGTGGAGGAGCAAACGGGTCAGGCGACCCGGTTAGGAGACAGAACCGTGTTGAAGAGACAGTGGAGGTTCTGCCACAGAGTATGGCTGATGATGGTTTGGTGGCTAGGAATCTCCATATGAAGTATGGACTCAGAGATACTCCTGGACTTGGTCAGTTACCTTTTATAATATATTAATTAATATTAGAACATGTGTAACTCAATTTACTTTAATTTGTTTGTGTTTAAGATTAATTAATCATCTTCTTTGTTTGTTGTGTGTTTCAGTTCCAATTGGGTTCTATGGTTTGCAGCATTACCTCTCCATGTTAGGTTCACTGATTCTTGTTCCACTCGTTATTGTTCCTGCAATGGGAGGTTCCCACGTAAGTTGCTTCTTTTAGTTGATTAATTTTGGATTGCATTTAATTTTATTCTTGGTTTTGGATTTATAGGAGGATATTGCAAATGTTGTATCCACTGTACTTTTTGTGTGTGGGATCACTACGTTGTTGCATACTTCATTTGGGTCGAGGCTTCCTTTGATTCAAGGCCCTTCTTTTGTTTTTCTCGCTCCGGCTCTGGCTATCATAAACTCTCCAGAGTTTCAAGGTTTGAATGGAAATAATGTAAGTAACAACACAAAACCCCTTTTTGTTATCTAATGTCATGTCACTAGAAAGACTTTTGTCTACAATCCTAGTGATATCAGTTTATTTTTTCTTCTTTGTGTGAATTCATATAGATGTTTCTTGAACAAAAAGTTTGTTGGCATTAATTAAGTATTGTGTTTTGGTTAATATTGTAGAACTTCAAGCATATTATGAGAGAGCTGCAAGGTGCAATCATAATTGGTTCAGCTTTTCAAGCAGTGCTTGGATACAGTGGCCTAATGTCCCTGATTTTGCGGTATACATCTCTGCACCTGTCCATATATATAATCATGCATTATATAACGTTTCATATTTGGTATGTTGTTTACAAATGATTCTTGTGACTTTGTGTGGTCCTGTATTTTCTTGTATCATAATATCTTTTGACCCTTTTTAAATAGGTTGATCAATCCAGTTGTTGTTGCTCCGACAATAGCAGCAGTTGGACTTTCATTTTACAGCTACGGTTTCCCGCTTGCTGGTAAATGTCTTGAGATTGGTGTAGTACAGATACTACTTGTGATCATCTTTGCTCTTGTAAGTTTATTAAATGCTACTGTTAACCGCTAATCATATCACATCAGGTTCATGTTAACACTATTTGATATTTTTACAATTTTTTTTTTTGCTGCAGTATCTCCGGAAAATTTCAATTTTAAGTCATCGGATTTTCCTTATCTATGCGGTAAGGTCATGTGATATTCACCTAACATGTTCTGATTTATACTGACATCTTACTAACAGGTTCCATTGAGTCTTGCAATCACTTGGGCTGCTGCATTCCTTTTAACAGAAGCAGGAGCTTACACCTACAAAGGCTGTGACCCTAACGTACCCGTCTCAAACGTTGTATCGAGTCACTGCAGACAATACATGACCAGGATGAAGTACTGTCGTGTTGACACTTCTCATGCCTTGAGATCTGCACATTGGTTTAGGTTTCCTTACCCCTTGCAATGGGGTGTGCCGATATTCAGCTGGAAAATGTCTCTTGTTATGTGTGTGGTTTCTATTATTGCTTCAGTAGATTCGGTTAGTGTTTTCTATCAACAAATTTTGAAGTTAATGTATCGCATTTTTACTAATAAGTTTATGTTTCAGGTTGGTTCGTACCATGCATCTTCTTTGTTAGTAGCATCAAGTCCTCCTACGCATGGTGTTGTGAGCCGGGCAATAGGTCTTGAAGGGCTTACAAGTCTTTTAGCCGGTTTATGGGGTACAGGTACTGGTTCAACCACGCTAACAGAAAACGTTCACACGATCGCTGTGACCAAGATGGGAAGCCGCAGAGTCGTTGAGCTAGGCGCATGTGTTTTAGTTATATTCTCCCTTGTTGGTAAGTGGTTCATTGATTATTTAACAAATGCATGTAACCAGGCCTGCAGGTTCGGGTAATTCGATTTGGTTAGTTCGGTTCAACATAAATCTTACTGAATTAACTCGAAATAAAGTTCGGTTCGGTATTCGGTTAGTTCGGTTTTTTGTAAATCATACCGACGTTTTTGATTTTGGTTTAATTTTGTTTAAATTTTGGATAAGTTTGGTTTAATTTGGTTAGTTCAGTTTGAAATTTTGTTAGTTTGGTTCTGGATTTTGGTATGGTTTGGTTATATTTTTTTTTTGTTTTAAAGAAAACCAAATTAACCGATTACCAAACCGAAAACCGAACTTAAAATAAAAAACCTACTGAATCGAACCAAACTAACCGAGAAATTAGGTCCGGTTCAGTTTGGGTCAAAATCCTAGAGAGACATGTAATATACGATTCATTATAGAGATCTGATGGAAGCTTTTTTGATAATTTGATCAGGTAAAGTTGGAGGGTTCCTAGCATCAATACCTCAAGTGATGGTTGCTTCTCTTCTTTGCTTTATGTGGGCAATGTTTACGGCTTTAGGTCTTTCAAACTTGCGTTACAGTGAAGCTGGAAGCTCGAGGAACATCATAATCGTGGGGTTATCGCTGTTCTTCTCTCTATCTATCCCTGCTTACTTCCAGCAGTATGGCATTTCTCCAAACTCGAACCTCTCTGTTCCAAGCTATTACCAACCTTACATTGTTGCTTCTCATGGACCATTCAAAAGCCAATATAAAGAGGTACGTTTACGCATTTGCCTTTCAAAAATTTAAATCTCAGATTAGAATATTAGTAAAACTTGTGAAGAGTTTTGTGCAGGTGAACTATGTGATGAACACGCTGTTATCGATGAACATGGTGGTTGCGTTCATCATGGCAGTGGTTTTGGACAATACTGTACCTGGGAGTAAGCAAGAACGTGGAGTTTATGTTTGGTCTGATGGTGAGACTGTGACGAGAGAACCAGCACTTGCTAAAGACTATGAGCTGCCGTTTAGGGTGGGAAGGTTTTTCAGATGGGTCAAATGGGTTGGCATTTGAATGAAAAAAAAAAAAAAATCAATGGTAAATAATTAGATTTTTTTTTCCTTTCCTCTTATTTTTAGTCTCTCTCAGTTTGATATAACACATTGGAGTTTTTTCTTGGATCGCAAGTTTGTTTGTTGAACAGAGCACGTGGAATTGGATGTTGTTGTTGTAAGTTATATAGACTCTTATTATCAAAATCCTTTTATAACTAGATTTAATTATTTTTTTTTCACTATTACTAACCATCTGAAGAACATCCACTATCTACCTGCAAGGATGGTACCATAACAACTAACGTTGTCAGACACATATTCATCTCGAAATCTCACTACCGTTCCCTCTGCTTAGTCTCCAAAAACTTCTACTCTCTTCTATCTCTTTCAGGTATCTACTTTGCTCGCCTCTACGTGTGCCTACGGCTACCCACTTCCTCCTCTAGTCATTGTCACAGATGGTTCAATCTCGACTACCGTCAGGGTCAGTTAAGTTTAGTACCGGTAAGAACTACACTCTCTTTCTCGTATTACCCTCAACCACAGTCGCCCTCCATTCCGAAATTGATCTAAGCCGTTAGAGTTTTTTGACTGTCGGAGTTGTACGTGGTGTCGTTCTCCCGACATGAATGTGGCAAGGAAACACGCTAGGTCTTTCTTTTTAGATGACAAGATATATGTAATAGGAGGATGCAAAAGAAGAAGAGAGGAAAATTTGACGAGTTGGAGTGAGGTTTTCGACCTAAAGACTCAGAATTGGAAGCCATTGCCTAAGCCTCCTAGTGATCAGGATCACAAAGGTGTAGTTTATGGAGGAAGGCTATACGCTTTCACCAACAACAACAACAACAAGAACTACGCATATGATCCGAACAGAGTTGGCCCAAGTCCACAAAATACCCAACTCAAATTCAAAAAAATAGACCTTTTTTCTATTGAACAAAACTATATCTAATTTTTGTTTTCTTTTTTTCTAAGCTGAAAATTTGACAAAAACGAGTTGGGCCCTAAGCCATTGCTTGCTCTGCTTGTGCCATGGGCCGGACCTGGATCCGAAATAAGAAAGATGGGTACAAGAGGTGGGGTTTGTGTGTCTAGGACGTATAACAGGACCTTTGTGCGTTATAGGAAATGAGATTTTTGCTGAACATGACGGTAAGTACACGTGGCATAACCCAAGGAATGGAATGCAGCAGGAAATACATGGTTTGAGATATGTTTACAAGAAACGTGCTAATAATTACAGAACGATTCAATTAGTTAACTATGGTGGGAAACTGGTAATTATGTGGAATGAGACTCGCAGGAAACTCAAGCGTGTTTGGTGTGCAGTGATTAGCTTGGAGGAGCGTTCGAGTCCATTGGGAACACGTATGCGGGGGAGGGTCGAACAATGCGATGTTGTTTTGGATTCAGTCCACAACTCATATATGCTCTCACGCTGCCTATCGGTTTCGGTCTGAAACTCATTTGTTTGCTTTCAACATATTATATTTCTAATAAGATGCCATTATTCACTTTTGTCTTAATGCTTAAAACTCTTTTGTAACATGTTTATGTTTTTCTTTAAGGGTTTGACTGGTATATTCGCAGTGGCTGCGATTGCGGTTGCGGGAAAACATTTGTGGATACGGGTGTTTGTGGTTTCAAGTGTTGGTAAAAGATTTGAACGACTGGTATTACGGTTAAAAATTGTTACGTTTACGGGATACTTATGACTGGTTAACTACCAAATGCAGCAATAGTTAAATAATAAACTAACAAGATTTTCATTTTTATATAATTATCAAAATATTCAAAATCATATTTTATAAACTAACAAGATTTACATTTTTATATAATTATCAAAATATTAAAATCATATTTTTATAATAAATGTAAAATTATATTGATAAAATTATACTATTCTTTTTTTTTAAAAAATTATTGAAAATATTTTTGTTTCAATAAATTATAATACAAACTAAAATATGATATATATATATATTGGTATTCTATTATTTTAATTGAATATTTTATTTGTATTTTTATGTAGTTTTTTTTGAAAAAAGAAATTTTTTTACCCTTTCGTGATCGACCGCAACCGCAAACGTTAGTTGGAATCAACTTTTGAATTTTAGAGTCTGTTAGCGATTTGAAGCAGTTTATAGTATTTTCTGTGATTATTTCAAAACGCCAACAACTGCTACCAACCGTAAGAGCTGCGTTTGCGGATGGTAGCGAAGAAACTAGTCAAGTTATAAGTTTCGAGGGTATAGTACTAAATTGTTAATGATTAATATTGTTGCAATAGTATTGTCCTCTTTTAACAACTCAATTGCCAAAACATCTTTTTCTTTTTTTTTCACATTTTCTGTTAACATGCACCTAACTTATAAGTTTAAAACTAATAAGATAACAAAATTAATGTGAATTTTATATGATTACTAAAAACTTATATATTGTGTTAAAAAAAATGGAAACTTTATAAAAGTTTCTACAAAAATATATAAAATAAAAATATGTATAAACTAATTTATAGAAAATGTATGTTTATAAAAAAAATCCATAAATGATAATCTTGAAAATGACATTATACAGAAAAAAAAATGCATGATTATGAAAAATTTGCAACAACCTATACACCTTTTGGGGGGTTTATGGGTTTGGCCCACCCACCACTGCAGTTTAACCAAACTAAACACATATCAACAAACAAAAACAAAACAAATGTGTGTGTATATGGTGGTAGGTAAAGGATCGCGAGAGGCAGGAGACCACTCCACGCTCTTCTCCCCTTCTCCTATAACAATTATTATCAACACACTCTCTCCTTTCTCTTCATCACCACCACACTCTCTCAATTGCAAACATGAGAACTCTCCTACCTTCCTCTCCTCACAACCCCATGCTCCAATCTCCTACGACCCCCTCCTCACGCAGACGCTTCATCCACTGCGCCAAAAGATCCGACTCTTCCCCCATCGGCTCAAGCAGATCAGATTGGCAAAGCTCCTGCGCCATTCTCTCCAGCAAAGTCGTTTCCCAGGAACAAGCCGCCGTTAACGGCCACACTAACGGCTCCGTCAATCTCGTCCCCTTCGACGACAAATCGTTAACTCCTCCGAACAAGAAAACGACGCCGACGCCGCTTAGCATCACCGATCTATCTCCCGCTCCGATGCACGGATCCAATCTCCGAGTCGCCTACCAAGGCGTCCCCGGCGCGTACTCCGAAGCCGCCGCCGGTAAAGCCTACCCTAACTGCCAAGCCATCCCTTGCGACCAGTTCGAAGTCGCGTTTCAAGCCGTTGAGCTCTGGATCGCGGATCGCGCGGTTTTACCGGTCGAGAACTCTCTAGGAGGCTCGATTCATCGCAACTACGACCTCCTCCTCCGTCACCGCCTCCACATCGTCGGCGAGGTTCAGCTCCCCGTTCACCACTGCCTCCTCGCTCTCCCCGGCGTCCGCAAGGAGTTTCTCACGCGCGTCATCTCCCACCCGCAGGGACTCGCGCAGTGCGAGCACACGCTCACCAAGCTCGGCCTCAACGTCGCGCGTGAGGCCGTCGACGACACCGCCGGAGCCGCGGAGTTCATCGCCGCGAATAACGTCCGGGACACGGCCGCGATCGCGAGCGCACGCGCCGCGGAGATCTACGGGCTGGAGGTGCTCGCGGACGGGATCCAGGACGACGCGAGTAACGTCACGCGGTTCGTGATGCTGGCGCGTGAGCCGATTATCCCCAGGACGGATCGGCCGTTCAAGACGAGTATTGTGTTCGCGCACGAGAAAGGCACGTGCGTGCTTTTTAAAGTGCTCTCGGCTTTCGCGTTTAGGAATATTAGCTTGACCAAGATTGAGTCGAGGCCTAACCATAATGTTCCCATTAGGCTTGTTGATGAGGCCAACGTTGGCACGGCCAAGCATTTCGAGTATATGTTTTATGTTGATTTCGAGGCGTCGATGGCGGAGCCGCGTGCGCAGAACGCGCTCTCTGAGGTGCAGGAGTTTACGTCTTTCTTACGTGTCTTGGGGAGTTATCCCATGGATATGACTTCTTGGTCGCCTTCTTCTTCGTCCTCATCGTCGTCTACTTTTTCATTGTAATACTTACTATATAGTCAACACCACGTAAAATCATTGGGAATAAAGTTTATTTTGGAATTCATAAAGAAGTTTTTGGGTGTTTTGTTTTTGGTTTAATTTTATTTTAGCTCATTGTAGTAACTTGTCATTTTTCACTTTATTGGTTGGTTAGATAAATTTTCTGTTATGAGGAGTGCACATGTTGACTAGTGAGTGGGATTTAAAGTGTTGTGTGGTTATCAGGTTATGTCAAGTTGTCAAATAATATTTTAAACAGTTCCCTTTTTTTTATTGTTTCTTTGATGTTCTTTTGTTTTATAAACAAAAACTGGTAGTAATGAGGTGTTAAGTATATGGTTAAAAAAAAACTATAGCTGATTAGACTATAAAGAAACTGTATGAATAGAATGCCCCAAAAGTATATGGTTCAAAGAAAAAAAAGAATGGCAAAAAATTCAACAGGTCTTGGACTCTTGAAACGGGACTGAAAGTTCTATAGCTGCCGAGCGAGCAACTGACACCATTCCACATTACTCGATAACTGTTTTGTTTGCGAGTTCTAAATACATATAAAATCTCTTGTTCTAAAAAACACTCCTCTAAACACTAGACAGTGGTTTTCATCCACCCCGATTTATGCTAAATTGATATAAAAAATTGGATGTTAAATTTTACACTAGACGGTGGTTTTCATCCACCCCGATTTATGCTAAATTGATATAAAAAATTGGATGTTCAATTTTAGTCTATCTCGATCGTTTATGACTCCCTAATTGGCAAGATGGCTGCCTAATCGCCAAGATGGCTGTCTAATCTTTTTTTTCATTTTTAATAATATTTATATTTATTTATTTGATCTAAAATTTGAGAAATGTAATTTCTATTCATATTTTTGATTATAGTTATATCATATTAAGTTTATATTATATTTGTGTGTTTTATACGATTCTAAATATGAAAAAGTTATACACAATTAAAGATTAAAATATTTTATAATATATCAAATAATTTATGAAGTACGCCCCACATAATTAGTGTTCATTTTTAGATTCTCTCTAGACATTATGTCCAATTCTTCTGTCCGACTAGCGTCTAACACGTTCCCGAACAATTAAAATCCAACAAATAAGGCTGATCCTTGTGCACCAAAAAAAAGGCTGATACGAAATAAGCCCATTAAGTATCGAACCCAAAAAATTGTATTCGAAACCCTAAACCCGCAACTCTTTAAATAATCAGCTTCTCTCAAACCTTTTTTTCAAACTCACTCTTAAACCCTACACTCTTCTTCGTCTTTAAGCAGCCACCTACTTCGCTAGCTATGGAGTTTTGGGGTACGTCTCAATGAAACTCTCTCTTTATAACTTCTATCGATTATCTTTGCGGCTTGACTGTTCCCGACATTAATAAGCCTTTGTTCTTAGCATTTTGTTTGTGAAATAACCTTAATTCTAGTTTTACACCAACTTGTTTGTTCTTATCGTCTGTATTGAACCTCTTTATAGGCATTCTACTAGAAATTGGTTTTAGTTTGGTGATAAAAGTGAATAATGTGTTCGGTTTCAAAATCATAATTGCTTTTGTCTGAACATATGTGGTTATGTTGTAGGTATTGAGGTTAAGCCTGGAAAGCCCATCAAGGTCGAACAAGAAGATGGCTACATGATCCATGTTTCTCAGGTCTGTTATCAATATCTATTGTCTTTTTTCTTGAAAGATTCTTCCGTTAGTGTTGATTGTCATCGCTTGTTGTTCTGTCTCAGATTGCTCTTGGTGAGATCAAGAAGTTGGGAGATAAGACTGTTCAGGTCTATGTCAAGGTTGGTGGTGATGATAAGCAGAAGCTTGTCATCGCGAACCTCTCTCAGAAGAATCCTCAAGTTTCTCTTGATGTCATGTTTGAGCAAGACTTTGAGATCTCACACGAGTGCAAAAGCGCCAGTGTCCATCTTCTTGGTTACAAGAGCGTTGATCCTACGGATGGTGAAGTCAACTCTGGTGAGTTTCATGTTTTTTGGATATTATGATGGGTTTTATTACTGTATTGAATGATGGAAGCTAATCTTTTTTGTAACTTTTTCTTTTCTTGCAGATTTTGATTCAGAGGATGAGGAAATTCCTATGGATATGTTTCGAAGTGGTAAGTTTAATTTACTGCCTTTGAGTTTACTTTGTGGCTTTGTTATGAATTCTAACTTTTGACATTGTTTATTTAGAATTGGAGAAATCAAACGCCAATGGTTTGAATGATAAACAGGCTAGTGTTGAAGCTGGTGAATCTGAGTCAGATGATGAAGATGAATCTGACGAGGTAGATTAACTTCTGACTTGCAAGTAGTGCAAACTAAAGTTTTTGTTTAGTTGTGACTTGCAGTGAGTCACTAAACTTGTTGCGGATTTCTGAAATGTGAGTTGCTTCTGTTTTATTGGTTTAGATGGGTTCAGATGAGGATGATGATGACTCGGAAGAAGAAGAGGAAACACCTGTTGTAAAGGTATGTTTTCTAAAGAATTGAATCTTGCACTTAAAAGGCTTTGAAAGCTTTAATGAATTTTGGATGAATCAAAAATAGGTTGAGCCTGCCAGCAAGAAGAGACCAAATGGTGGAGCAATGAACAACAACACAGTTGCTTCAAAGAAAGCCAAAGTCGCAAATCAGCAAAAGCCATCAGGTAACTAAACTTAAACTCAGATAGAGAAGCGAAAGCTCATAATTTTGAATAGTGAAATTGGAATTAATGGTTGGTTTTTAACTGATTTGGTGCAGGAGGAGGGCATAAGGGGCACAAGTGCGGCGGTGTTCATCCTCCAAAAAGAAACTAGAGAATGAGAGCCAAGTCACATTTTTCATATAAAATTTTGATAGTATTACCCATCTATTGGTGAATGGTTGAGTTACTTGCGAGAATTTTGGATTGTTAAAATCATTCAAATATATTTTTGTTGTCGTTGGCAATGTCAGTGGTTTCAGTATTTTTTTTGTTGTTATTTACTAATTTCTCAAATGAATGTTAACGATATGCTTTTGCTTTAAACGGGTACAATGTGGGCGAAAGGTAGTTCTGCTCAAAATTTGATGCAATACTAGACGATGTATACTTTATTTGTCATTTTACAGCTATACGATCTTGGTTAGACAAATCCTCTTTTTGGCTGTCTTCTTGATTGAACTCGTGTGAGTTGAGTGAGGACTTCTTTAAGTCGATAATTCAATAGACCTTTGGTGGATGGAATTTTGAGACAAACAATGAATACCATCGGTTGGAGAGAATTTGGTTACTTTGGTTGGTTAATGTTAACGATCATGTACAAAAGCCCCTAGCTTATAACAACTCGTTATTATTTCCTAGTTTCATGCTTTTTTTTTTGTCACAGTGTTTCATGCTTCTATGCCTCCAATTTTCAGAGAGATAGTGAGAAGAAATCAGATCACTGAAGGATATCTAATTTAAATGATGATAGTGTTCCTTGGATTGTATTTGTATAATTTCAGCGAGATATTGGTATTAGATGAACAGTCTCGTGGAAAGGCTTTTGTCTAATCAGTTACCTTAATCTCTACTCTGAGCTTTCAAAACTGGTACCATAATAAAACCTTTCACAAACAAATAAGATTGAAAAGAATAATAGAAAAAAAATAGATACTTATTTTTCTTTATCTAAGTGGTTAATAAAACATGTCATTTATTATGACACCAAAAGCAACCAACAAAAAACTATAATTATTGCGTCTGCCGGGAGTCGAACCCGGGTCTATTGCTTGGAAGGCAATTATCCTAACCGTTGGACTACAGACGCTGTTGATTACTGGGTTGATTTACGGGATACAAACTATTCACAACTAAACTACAAATTGTCTGAGCGGGAGTAACACAAAAAGAAAAATACTGTTTTTATGAAACCAAACATCTTAACGCAACATTTCTGTCTAATATCATTCGCTACAAATAATTAACCTTTTGCTTTCCCATGGACGCAACGCAACATACAACATGCATCATGCATGGCCAAAGACAATAGCTGAAAGGAGAACAAAAACTAGACGGTATACTTGGATCAACGTACCAGCGTTGTTTTCTTAAGAAGAAAAATACAAAAAAGTCTATGGGATGTAAAAAGAAAAGAATCGAAAAAGAGTAAAAAAATGCCAAATCAGGGTGTCTTTAACGAGTGTATGTTGCCTTCTTGTAAACATTTTATGAAGCTACTGGTTTGGATGTTGCCTTCTTCACAGCTTCCGCGTAAGTCCTGTGCTGATAGGTTAAGGTCGATTCCAGTAAGTCCCACAGAGATGTCTTCGGGTTCCATCCCAGTTGCCGGTTGATGATGGTCATGTCTGGTATTCTCTTGTCACTGTCGTCATAACCTTCCCCGTAAAACTCCTTTGAGCTTACATCAACCGTCGGACTCTCTATAGCTCCCTCTCCGCTCACTTTTGCGTATACCTGAAACAATACATCATGTTTCATTTTGAGTACCAATAGACAGAATAAATGTTAACTCTTTCTTACCAATCTTTACTTACCTCGGTCATCATTTCAGCGAGCTGTCGTACTGTGACTTCGTTGTTTGGGTTGCCTACATTGAAAATATGCCCATTTGCCCTATCCGGGTTTTCCTGAACCACACACAACAATGTCCATTGCATGTTACGAAAAGCACAAAGGATGGTATTGTATTAGCCAATAGAACTCACGATCATCAAAAGAACAGCTTCGATGGCATCCTTAATGTAGATAAACGTTCTCTGTGATTCTCCACCATCCACAAGCTTCAGAGGCTCACGGCGAAGAAGATTCTGGAAGATAGCAATCCATCAGCTAAAAATCTTGCATATAAAATAGCATTCAGATTTCTACTTACATTACTAAAGCAGGCGAGAACACGAGGGACACCTTCGCTAGGACCATCAATGCCGGGGATGAAATCCATCCTAGGTCCAATCCAGTTGAAAGGTCTTACAATGGTGAACTCAAGTCCATTCTCAGCACCCTCAGCTGTCACAAGAAACATGTGAAACCTTCAAGTTCTTCTTAACACATTATATATATATACATGTCGTCTATGCTTTACCGAAAACGAGTCTCTCAATCAATTGCTTTGCACACGCGTATGACCACCTTTGCTTCTCAATTGAACCAAATATGCAAGGGGAAACATCTTCTTTAAGAACATAAAAAGAAGGATCCTGTAGAAAACAGAGCAAACCAAACTATGTAAACAATGTAGCCAACATTTGTAAAGAAATGAAGGTCGAGGAACCATGTTTTCTACATACTCAAGATTTCATACATGCCTAAATTGGATAATAATTACAGAAAATGTGTATTTGTGAGTGATAAACTAGTTCTCTAAACTCTTAGCTGAATACAAACATGTAGAAAGCGAGGCCTGACCTCGCGCAGAGGATGATCCTTGGGAAGAAAGCTTCCAATGGTTTTGCCATAAACTTCACAGGTAGAAAAATGAATAAGACGCTTGTTGTTCTCAGAGCAGTACTTAACCTAACAACACATTATTAACCAATCAAATACAAACTAACAATAATAAGCTTACATAACAACACTATATTCCACAATTCTATGATCTGCTTCAATTCAAAAGCAAAAGCTAAAGAAACACATACAACAGGAAGCGCGTCAATGAAGTTACTGTAGATAGTATCAAGAGGACGCGTATTGTAATCCGCTGGTGTACATATCGCCGCAAGATTTATAGTCTGCAAAAAAACAAATCAAAAAACTTAAATCAGTAATGTATGATAATCGGATTTAGATCTGACACTATTTTCAATTTCGCAATACGTTACCAGATCCGCCATCTTGATAAGTCCTTCAAGCCTGGAATCATGCTTGATGTTGATGCGATGAAACTGGATCCGATCTTTCCACTCAACCGTATCCGGCTCCAGCAAGTGCTTGATCTTGTCGTTGTACACGTCGAGCGCGAGCACCTTGTGCGGAGTCTCCGTCATCAGCTTCTCGCAGAGGTGAGAGCCGATGAAGCCTCCCGCGCCGATCATGCATATCGTTATCGGCTTTATCGGTCTGCCGTCGAGATCCACTCTGTCAGTTACGTTCGCCATTTTTGAAAATTTGAGATCAGAGAAGGATGATAGGAAGGTTTTCTTTAAGAGAGTAGTTCGAGAATCCCGCGCTTTCTCTCTCTCTGTGAGATGAGTGTTGGCTGTAAAGAGTAGAAAGAGAGAGAGAGTGATGACGGTGGAGATATTTATGAGGGGGGGAGAGGAGCATGTGAACGGAGGCAAATCTTTGTCAATCCAAATCTCACTCTCTGCCCCCAGAGCGTGATCTGTACTTGCTTACTATGTGCCTCCTGGTGATATTTTCACAACCGATCCTTTTACTTGTTTTTCATGTAAAATTATTTATTCTCTGGGTTTTTAATTATTTTAGTGGTTTTGACTCAAATATCATTAATACTTTATAACAAGAAATCTAGATTTTGTTATAAAAAATACAAGAAATCTAGATTTCAATTTTTAGAGAAAAACAATTATTAAATAATTTACACATTCTGGAAGAAATTTTTACAAAAGAAATTATAAATATTCAATATATACAACTAAATCTGGTGTGATACCATTAGACGTAGATTTTTATAAAGTAGATAATATTATCATTTATTCAATTATTGATGTAATAGTTTTCATAATTATAATATCATAAAATTGATGTTTAAAATATTTTTTTGGAGTTTGGACATTCAGATCTTGAGATAATATTTAGATCGATTTTTTTATAGTCGGAATTTTAAATTTAAATATTTAAATTTAATTAGATATTTAAAAGTTTTTAATTCGATTGTGGGTTAGTTTCTTTGGATATAGGTCAATCTGAAACTATAAGTAAAATATTTGTAAAGTATAAACAATTTTTGGAAACAAAATTAATTTTGACCAGTTTGTGTTTTTAGGATCTAATAACGATCTGAAATATTCTAATTTTATCAAATTTTAGTTGAAATCTATCAGATTAATCTAAAATTTAATAAAATACAAAAAATTAATTATTAATAATTGAATAGAAATACAAAAACTCCTATAATTTTGACTAACAGTATATTATTTAATTCAAAAATTAAAAAATATTAGAAAATTTAGAGTGTAATATTCAGCTAACTAGTTGCATACTCCCCGCGCTTGCGCGGAGCTGAGATCATTGTGTTTGCAATATTTTCTTGATTGTTGGTATAGTGGATTCTTCTAATAACACCAAATAATAATGAAATTGAAAGAATGTAGTAAGAGTATAAAGTGAAAATATTGTATATATAATGTGTTAAATGTTATTTATATGCGAAGTAAGGTTTATATGAATAGTTAGGCTATAATATAGTTTTTAGTGTGTAAAAGTAGGTGTCTATTTTTTTTTTTCTGTAAATAGTTTTTATATCGTAGGTCAAACTTGATATAATTCTATATTTATAGTATTTATATTTGTATTAAACGATTTATCAATATGAAAATAACCTTAATTAATTTAATATCCGTTGTTTAAGTTTCATTAGATAGATTTTTATATATGGTTTTTTGTAAGTTTGAGTTTTGTTCATAAATGATGTGGCATTTTTATCTACGGCGTCATCGACTGTGGGAATTCATTCGCCTGGGTCTGGAATCGGTGGTGAGGAATGTTTTCAATGAAATTATAGTAGTTATTAAAATGTAAGAGAAATTACATATTCATTTAATAAATAACAAAAAATAATTAAATTTTGCTTTTTATTTTATTTTATCTCACATACAATTTTTTTTTGAAAATATATATTAGGAAATTTGTGCAAGGATTAAATTTTTGAGATCTTAATCTATATTATTCAAGCTTCATTAAGCCATCCACGTAGGCAGCCGCGTGTTTTTTTTTTTTGGTCTGTTCGTTTTTGGATCCATTTTTATTATTTTTGGGTTGAGCTATATTATAATAGGATAGTTTTAAGGTTCTTTAAGCCATCCGCGTATGCAACCGCGTGAGACTTTGTTTTTTTTGTTTTTTTTATTGTTCTTTTTTGGATCGATTTTTAACTATTTTTGGGTTTGAACTTGTTAAACTTTAGGGTTTATCCAACTATTTTGATCTTTAAAACAATAAGTCAAAAAAAACATAAAAACTTTATAAACAAAAAGCCCATAAGATAATAACCAAATCAAAAAATCAAAAATACATGATAACTGCGTGGTTTGAACCCACGATCTTGCATGCTTAATTGGACATCTTATACCACTTGGCTAAATTATATTTCATTGTTCATAATCATCTTACCAAGACTATGGTTTTAAAAAAATACATATGGACCCCACAAAACTGCTGACGTGGCGCGTTGTGGAGCCTAGAAACTCTACTATTATAATATAGATTTGTAAATAATATAAATATTTTGGTTTAAATGTAACTAAGATTTATAAATCTATATTATAATAGTACACTTTCTAAGCTCCACAACGCGCCACGTCAGCAGTTTTGTGGGTCCCCTAGGTATTTTTAAAAAAGTTATAGTCTTGGTAAGATGATTACAAATAATGAAATACACTTTAGCCAAGTGGTATAAGGTGTTTAATTAAACATGCAAGATCGTGGGTTCAAACCACGCATCCATCATTTTTTTTATTATTTGGGTTATTATCATATGGGCTTTTTGTTTGTAAGGTTTTTATGTTTTTTTTATGGCTTATTGTTTTAAAGAACAAAATAGTTGGATAAACCCTAAAGTTTAACGAGTTCAAACCAAAAATAGTTAAAAATGGATGCAAAAACGAACAATAAAAAAACAAGAAAAAAGCAAGTCTCACGCGGTTGCCTACGCGGATGGCTTAAAGAGCCTTAAAACTATCCTATTATAATATAGTTCAACCCAAAAATAATAAAAAATGAATCCAAAAACGAACCGACCCAAAAAAAAAAGTGAATCCCACGCGGCTACCTACGTGGATGGCTTAATGAGTCCTGAATAATATAGATTAAGAGCTTAAAAAGTGAAATCATTGCACATATTTCCTAATATATATTTTCAAAAAAATTGTATGTGAGATCAAATAAAAAAACAACAAAAATTAAATATTTTTGTTATTTATTTAATGAATATGTAATTTCCCTTACATTTTAATAACTACTATAATTTTATTGAAAACATTCCTCACCACCGATTTTAGACTCCGGCGAATGGATTCCCACGGCCACAGTCGATGACGCCATAAATAAAAATGCCACATCATTTATGAACAAAACTCAAACTTACAAAAAAACATATATAAAAACCTATCTAATGAAACTTAAATAACGAATGTTAACTTAATTAAGGTTATTTTCAAATTGATAAATCGTTTAATACAACTATAAATACTATAAANCAAAACTCAAACTTACAAAAAAACATATATAAAAACCTATCTAATGAAACTTAAATAACGAATGTTAACTTAATTAAGGTTATTTTCAAATTGATAAATCGTTTAATACAACTATAAATACTATAAATATAGAATTATATCAAGTTTTGATCTTCGATATAAAAACTATTTACAGCAAAATAAAACACCTACTTTTACATACTAAAAACTATATTATAGCCTAACTATTCCTATAAACCTCACTTCGCATATAAATAAAATTTAACTCATTCCTAATATATTTTCAAAAACTTTGTATGTGAAATAAAATAAAATAAACAACAAAATTTAAGTATTTTTTGTTATTTATTAAATGAATATGTAATTTCTCTTACATTTTAATAACTACTATAATTTCATTGAAAACATTTCTCACCACCGACTCCAGACTTCGGCGAATGGATTTCCACAGTAGATGACGCCGTAGATAAAAATGCCACATCTTTTATGAACAAAACCCAAACTTACAAAAAAACCATATATAAAAACCGATCTAATGAAACTTAAACAACGAATATTAACTTAATTAAGGTTATTTTTAAATTGATAAATCGTTTAATACAAAGATAAATACTATAAATATAGAATTATATCAAGTTTTGACATACGATATAAAAACTATTTACAGCAAAAAAAAAAATAGACACCTACTTTTACACACTAAAAACTATATTATAACCTAACTGTTCCTATAAACCTTACTTCGCATATAAATAACATTTAACACATTAGATATACATTATTTTCACTTTACACTCTTACTATATTCTTTCCATTTCATTATTATTTGGTGTCATTAGAAGAATCCACTAAACCACTAATGATTCCGGCCCCGCGCTTGCGCGGGGAGTATGCAACTAGTTATATGTAGATACTTTAGATCTAATCTAGCTAATATTTTTGAAGGTGTATATATTTTGATTAATCCAGTTTTACAAAAAAAAAACAAATTAATCCAAAAATAGTCACATTTTCTCAGTTTAATATTCTGATTTGGTTTTGAGTAGAGAAGGATTAGAGCACCAAAACATAAATTTGGAAGAAGACAGTTAAAAAGTGGCGTCAGTCAGTATCATTTTTTTGGTAATCAAAGACCATTTTGTTTGCGCAAACCAAAAGCGCCCTCGAAAACGAAACGAAACAAAAACACCTCAACGATGAAACTCCTCCTCAGACCTCTCTAGATCCTCTTCACCCCCCGCCCGTACACAAAACATTTTCTGATTATTGATTTCAAGAACGTCTTCCCGTTTGGATCTACTGAATAATGATGTGGAAGTGAGATGCAGCCTAATCTGTTCCCATTCGGCACAGTTCAATGGCGGCGATCTAAACGACCTTGGTGGATTCGAGAGCTCTAGACTTTTTCTCTTCTTACTCACTAAGGCATATGGATTTCTCCAAAGTCGGGGAAAAATTCCTCAGCTCTGTGAAATCCGCTAAATCCCTCGGACTCTTACCCTCCTCCTTCTCCGATCGCCCTGAGGTAGCTTAGCTACACACTCTTTGGTTTCAATTGGATCTGTTTTAAAAAAAAATTAAAGAGCGTTTTTTTGTTGTTGTTGTTGTTGTGTAGATTCCGGCACGTGCCACGGCTGCAGCTGCTGTTGCACGTGCTTTGGCTGGACTTGCTCCTGATCAGAGATTAAGCATATCATCTTCTGCTACTGAGCTTAGTTTAATATATGGTGGTAACAGACCTCCTCCCCAAGAAGTTGAAGAGCTTGAACAAGGCTTCTACCAAGAGGTGTGTAACATTTATTCTTTTTGGTGTTTGTTAGATTAGGATATATATATATATATATATATATATATATATATATATATATATATATATATATAAATAATTTCATCACTATCTTTCATTGTGCTCTAAGTGTAGGACTTTGATCCAGTAAGGCATATTTTGGAGAATGTACCGGATGATCAAACTGACCTTGCTTTTTTTGAGAAACAGGTACCAATATTTATCTATCTTCAAGTTATTAGAATGCATATATATATATATATATATATTTTTTTTTTTTTTCTTAGTAAGTTTAAAAGGTTTGTCTATTGTATAGGCCACTTTGAGGTTGGTGCAGCTGGATAGAGTGGCCGAAGATCTGTCTCATCATGTTATGGAGCATCATCAAGTTATGGGTGAGTACCTAAATTTGTAAGGACTCTGTCTTTTTTTTTGTTTTCTTTTCTTTCTACTTAAGGGAAACTGACGTCAACTGGGAAGAGACTATATGTGTTCCGTTTTGTGAATACTAATATTCACTTTTGGTTAGTGAAGGGGATGAATTTGGTTAGAGAATTGGAGAAAGATTTGAAGGTTGCTAATGTCATCTGCAAAGTAAGGACTTCATATTCTTTTTTTTTTTTGCTAAGATTTACAAAAGCCAAGCAATGGTTTTGACCGCTTTTGTTTGTTATTGCCAGAATGGAAGACGGAATTTGACTTCTTCCATGAATGAGGCTTCAAGAGATCTTATCGTACACACTCATTCCAAAAAGAAACAAGCTCTTCTGGTAGGTTCCCCTATTTATTTCTGACATCTAGCCTACACTGATTCTTTCTTCAATCTGTTTTCTTGAGATTTTGTCCATGCTTTATAGTTTTTTTGCTGAAACTCTCCTAGTATGCTCAGAAGTTTATATACAAATTTATTTAGTATCGCCTATGAGCAAGTCGCTAATATTTCTAGAACAAGGATCTCTTTCTGTTATGTTTTTTTGCTTCTCTAGAAATCTTGTGACTAGAACTGCATAAATGTTTACTTTACTCTACTTGCAGGACATGCTTCCTATATTAACCGATCTTCGCCATGCAAGAGTAATGCAGTCAAGTCTTGAAGACCTTGTTGACGAAGGAAACTATTGCAAGGTATAATTACATGTTTTTTCGTATAATAATTATGGTGATATTATGCTGCCTAACTAACAACATACTAGCAAATGTATTCCGTTTATGTAGGCATTTCAAGTTTTATCTGAGTACTTGCAGCTTCTTGACAGTCTATCTGAGTTTTCAGCTATCCAAGAGATGACCCGTGGTGTAGAGGTAGTTAGGACTTATTCATGACCAGCTGTTCTCCTCATAATTCTATTTCTCAGTCGTTTAAGCTTCTCATACTCTCTTCAAGGTTTGGTTAGGACGAACTCTTCATAAGCTGGATTCACTTTTGTTGGGCGTTTGCCAAGAGTTCAAAGAAGATAGTTATGTAATGGTCAGTAATCCAAGTCATTTTCTTGTTAAGCTCTCTCCTTCAAGATTGAATGTAAAAAAAAATTGGATTGTCGGCCTAAAATCTAGTCGGAGAACTAGAAATATGCTTCAGTGGCTATAGTTAACTGTTTATGTGCTCGTACCTTTAGGTCCTTGACGCTTATGCACTGATCGGTGATGTCTCTGGTCTCGCCGAGAAGATACAGAGCTTCTTTATGCAAGAAGTTATCTCAGAAACGCACTCAGTGCTAAAGACAGTTGTTGGGGAGGTATGTGAGCTAGATATTCAATTGTAGCCGTGTATGCTTGGACCGTTGCTGGTGTGTGTTGCAATTATTTATTTATTTCTTCTAGTGTATGGCGCAAGCGTTTTTCCTTCTTGCTTAGATGCCACTTTTTGTCCTAGCAGATACGTGAAAGCGGACACTTTAAAATAGAAATATATGAAGTAGGTTGATTATTGAATGCTTAGCAAGCGTGGTTTTCTGAAAAGATGAATCACTCATATTTTGAATATGTAAGGATGGCTACATATGCGGCAATGCGTTTTTACTTCATCCTACTGAGTACTTAAATGAGTTTGTTAAGGTAAAAATATCGAAATCATCAGATTATTGATCTTGTGAATGATTTTTTTTTTTTTGTAGGATAACAGTGCTGCCACCCAATTTAGTAGGTATGTTCTCCGTTCCTGAGTTATCTGGTTGCTATTAAGCTATTACATTACCTAATAATCACTAATAATATTCTTGCTGATTTATTTACATTGATTTCAGACTTACATACAGCGATCTATGTCTTCAGACACCAGAATCCAAGTTTAGGCAATGTCTTTTGAGAACACTAGCTGTGCTATTTCAGTTAATATATTCGTACCATGAGATAATGAGTTTCGCTCCAGAAAAGAAGGTCGGTTCCCTTCCCTACTTTAGTTTGTATTTTACATCTTTTAATTATTGAGAAGGTTCTTGAAAAATCCCTCTTCTAATTTCAATGCTACAGCGTCCGTTGTCAGATTTCATAGTCTTGAACTCCTCTGTGGCTCTGTTTAGACCTTTTTACCTATTCTGTGAGCAAATATACCTAAACTCTCTGTAGTTGGAGGGAATCTTAGCATACCCCTAAAGCTTTTCTCTGTGTGTTTGTTTAGTTTGGTGGTATGCAGAACTCTACCTGCTTTGTTGATGTTTGATATGGGAAGTTATAAATAATCATGTATTCAAGTCCTGGCTATTGTTTTATTTCTTAGTTAACATACAACTATGCGGGTTATTTTACCTCTCTTTAAGAACTCCATGTCATGGAAGTGGTTGCTCAAGAATGTTGATAAGTTCTTTGAATTTAGTACGATATGGTTTTACTTCATTCCCTTTAGGCTCGAAAGATAATGGGTCATCATAGTATCCTCTCTTTGATGGCTTATGTGCTCGGTATCTTAATCATTGCTAATAACTTCCTTTACGTTCTTTTCTGTATTTGTCGGCTTCAATCTCGTCTAGTTATCTCTAATGGTTTCTAAGGACAAAGTTTCTGAACTGGAACAGGTAGAAAGTTACATCTCAACGAGCTCTGCAACAACTCAAAAGATTGATTCAGTGTCAGACACTTCTTGCGAACTACAGGATGATGGTCTCTCGTCAGCCATAAGTTCAGCAAGCGTGCCTACCATTTCTGCTGAAGAGTCTAGTGGAGGAGAAACCTCCATTCTCGTAAAGCAAGCGTCTAATAGTGCAGTAGACGACTCTAGGGATTTTGGAGATACACTATCTAATGGCGAGTCACCATGGTACCATCTACGAAAAGAGAGTGCTGCCTTTGTTTCAGAAACTCTGCAAAGAGGACGCAGAAATCTTTGGCAACTTACAACAAGCCGCGTGTCAGTTCTGCTCTCATCTCCAGCTGCTTCTTCAACAAGTATACATCAGTTCCTAAAAAATTATGAAGACCTGAGGGTCTTTATCCTTGCTGGGGAAGCGTTTTGTGGATTTGAAGTTGTTGATTTTAGGGAGAAGCTAAAGGGTGTATGCGAAAATTATTTCTCTGCATTCCATAGGCAAAGCATGCATGTAAGCTCAGTTTCAAAATGTCAACTGGACTGACACTGCCAATACTACATACCTAGTTACTTTTATGCATCACCTCTCCACTATTATAACGTGAAAGGTAAAAATTTTGTTTGTTTTTTCCCCATAACAGGCGCTCAAAATGGTCCTGGAGAAGGAGACGTGGACGAAACTGCCACCTGGTACTGTGCAAGCTATTAATTTTTCCGGTCTCGTGGGGAATGGGGCTCCCCTAATTATGTCTTCCCGAAGTGCCTCTGGTGCTTCCAGAGTCTTTTCGAATAAGTCAGATGACTCGACTGGTCCTAGTGGGAACAGGAGTGGATTCTCATATTGGTTGAAAAGTGGAAACCCTTTCTCTGCAAAGTTAACTTACTATCGAGAAGACCAAGACTACTCCTCTGTCAATGGAGCTGGCTCTGGAGATTTCGAAGGGAATGATTGTATTCACGAGGACGTTGTAAATCCCAAGATAAGAGATGCAAAACGCAGTAACGGAGGTAGTCCTGTTTCAGGAGACGAAAACGAAGACCTTCATGCTGACTATATTGACGAGGATAGTCAGCTTCCAAGACGAAGTTTTACACGTAGTGTATCAAGGAGTTCTTCTTCACATATCAGTACTAATGATGATTTGACAGCTCAAACAGGATCCTCACTTTGTCTTCTAAGGTAATATGCTGTTTAGCAAATGCTTGTAATTAGAATGATCACAGATTTTCCCCAGGTCATTTTGTGATACGGAATTGTGATGACTGTGCTTGTCATAGGTCTATGGATAAGTACGCGAGGCTTATGCAGAAACTAGAAATTGTTAATGTCGAATTCTTTAAGGTACCAATCTGATATTGACTCTACAGGTTTCTTTACTACTCTTCTTGGATTTCTCTTCTAAAGTATCTTTTGCACATGTTTGGAATTCTGTAGGGAATATGCCAATTGTTTGGGGTCTTTCTCTATTTCGTGTATCAAGTATTTGGTCAAGAAAATACGAATTCAGGTGGAAAAGGAGTTACCGACTCTTCCAATCGTGAGTAACTGTTTGTTTGATGGTCCTCTTTGTTTATAATGTTGCTTCTGACCTGCTTCAGTATATCTTTTAAGGCTACGATATCTGAGGAAAAGCATTGTGCTCAAATTTCAAATTTTTGAAATGCAGATCGTTTGAAAAGCTGCTTATCCCGGATATCACAAGAATGTGAGCAATGGATAAAGCCTCAGTTTTCATCGTCACCATCTTCTTCACTTTCCTTCCCCAACACACTCCCTAGTCTTGCGGACGTGACTCCAGCGAGTCCTATAAAAACATCTGGTCACGTATCAGGCACATCTTTTAGTCTCAAGGTATAACTTGGGGGGAAGTTTTTATCAATCTGAAAACTACAATTAATGTTGTGTTCTGTAGTAAACCTAAAGATAACTATCCCTACTCATTTACTTTCACTTATTTCATATATCAAGTATGAGAAGAGAAGAGCAGCTTTAATAAGAAGTTTTTGTAACACATGATAATCACTTATAGGAAAGATGCGCTGCAGTGGACACTGTTTCTCTTGTGGCTCGAATACTGCATAAATCAAAAGCTCATTTCCAATCGATGCTTTTGTCAAGAAATGGCTCTCTGGTTGAAGACTTCTTTGGTCAACTGGTATGTGCCTCTCTCAGTTCTGATTTCTTATAAAATCTGGCTTAGCCGGACATATATTGCCTTATTTGGTTTTGCTGGCGAGAACTTTACATAAAGTCTGATTATACATAGACCTATGTAGCATCCAACAACATTTGCCTCTTTAAAAGTAAAGGATTATGCAGGATGATCATGATTCATAAGTTCATTGTATTCCTTTGTTATATTAATTTCTCAATATATATATTGGTCAAAACTATTTGTATTCTATATGTGGTAGCAAATATATCCGAAGGAGTTGCATTAAGTGGAATAATTCCTCAGGTTGGTTCCGTACCTGAACTGACAGAGCACTTACATAGGACAACTGCAAGGATACTGCTGCATGTTAATGGGTAAATTGCTAATTTACTCAATTTTATATTTAGATGGATTACATCTTTCTCCTCGCGTGTGCCTTCTATTCTTATTCTTACTGACCTCTGGATTTTTAGAATTGTTACATAAATTTATATACTGTGAACGCAATCAGTATGGTAAAGTCGAACCATGGGTTTTATATTATTGGTTCTCATTGGGAGTATGTATGTCCATTCATCTTTAACTGATTTTGTAGATATGTAGAACGGATTGCTAATTCTAAATGGGAAGTCAAGGAGCTTGGAGTGGAGCATAATGGGTATGTTGCTTCATTCAGTTACTCCGTTTGCTGTTCGATATTTGTACCTGTAACTTTAATTAAATCGTGAAATATTTAATTATTTAGATGTTCATAGTGTTTCAGAAGTAATCTTTTAAAGTGCTCGTGTTGTACAAAGTTACCATTGACAAGCTGCGTACTTATTTGCTGAGATAAGATTTAGATTTTCAGTACACGGATAATGCTCTTAAACTAGATTCTGACCAGTTTACTTGGCATATCGGACTAAACTCTTTGAACTAAACAGGTATGTTGATTTGATGCTCGGGGAATTCAAACACTACAAAACAAGGCTTGCCCATGGAGGCATTTCACAGGAGGTAAATGACTCTTTGACCTCATCATTAGTTGGCACCTATTTAGTTTTTTCCTTCTGCTTTTTGTGTGTCACAGTTAAATCCTAACACATTCTGTTTCATAAATTATCAAAAGACAGCACGAACTCAATTTGGTTAAGATATCAGATTGAGTATATTTCTTCTCAAACTATTGGGAAATCTGTATCCATCTTGAACTCTTTTTTCCATAAATAGGTCCAAAATCTCCTACTGCAATATGGAGTTGAAATATTTGCGGAGATGCTGGTCGAAGGGTTCTCTCGAATAAAAAGATGTACTGATGAAGGACGTGCTCTCATGTCATTAGATATTCAGGTATCTATCTCTTCTGCACTTGATTAGGAATTGTGTACATGAATAGAATGAGTTTCAATCAACGGTGACAGGCATTCCAATATTGATATAGAACTTCATATAAACAACACAACTGCAAAGATTTTTAGGATAAGACAAACACCTCTTACTATGTATGATATGACATAGTGAATAAGCAGTTGATATATTGAATCACATGTGTCATTTAAACATGCGTTTGGGGTGTGGTTAATGTGCATGGAAATGATTATCTTTTTGTAGGTCCTGATAAATGGGCTACAGCACTTTGTGCCGACAAAGGTGAAGCCAAAGTTACAGATAGTCGAAACATTTATCAAGGTAAGCAAACCAGAAACACATATGCAAGTGCAGTACCACTTGAGATCATAATGTGCTGGTAATACACACATAAAACCGAACTCATCACTCATTTTTGCAGGCATACTATCTGCCAGAGACGGAATATGTCCACTGGGCAAGAGCTCATCCGGTAAACAAACAAATCTTTCTTTTCTTTATGATGTTTTGCGTAAATTAAATTGATGGAATTTGCTTTTAGTAGAAGACTTGATGAGAATGCGTAAACATGGATTGTAAATATACAGGAATATACGAAAGCACAGGTCACTGGACTGGTGAATTTAGTAGCCACCATGAAAGGCTGGAAGAGGAAAACGCGACTAGAAGTTGTCGATAAGATTGAATCAGCTTCTGCATAGATCAATTCTAAAAACAACAACAAAAGTAATATCTACTTCTTTTCTCTGATTAATGTCTTTGCTTTTGGCTCTTACTTTTGCATTTTGAATCGAGTGGTGCAAATTTGAGGAAGCCCTTCTTAGTTACTGTCGGTGCTTAATGGGTTTGTGTAAAAGATCCTCCTCAAGTTGTACAGTCTTGAAGAGATTATAACACACATTTTCTTACATTTAAATACTTAATAATGTCTCAGTATTTGCATTATCAGTTCCTTGAACCTGATTTTATAGTGCACATAACTTTTTAGTGAAAATTTATCACTCTTCTTATCCTGTTGACCATTGTAATGATAAAACAGCAATGATTATAGATATATCAAATTATATTTTTTTTTCAACTTTTCTAATCATTATTCGAGAAAAAACAAATCATTTGTAGTTTCACTGTTAACTACAGATGAAACATCTTTTGTTTTTTTTTACGTTTTAGTGATATTGAAATCAATCAGAATGAAAGGTGTCTCATCTCTTGTGTACTGTCATGTTTGCGATGAGAGGTTGGAGGAAAGACCGGTCAACAGACTTCAAAGCTCTGGTGACTTGGTTGTATCTCCAACCATTTTTAATGCAACGCATGGCTCATCTACTGGTACCTGTGGTGCACAATAAAAACATTCAAAAACATGTTATTGTACAAGTTTCCACTAAAAACCTTCAATTTAATATGTTGCGTGCCAATGTAAAACGAGTTATATTTCAAATTTTTGATGTGAAAGAAAGAAAAGAAAGATAGAAATAAATTTTATGAAAGATTATTTTATATAAAAGAAAAATTAATTATTATTGGTTAAAAACCTTTTCAAAAATATGCATTAGTTTAGCAATATGCTTTTTGGGTGTAATTAGTTTAGCAATATGTTTCTATGAGCATATTTTTGCTTTAATGTTTCTAGGAACATAGTTATTGTAATTTGGTAGCTTTTAAAAAATTGTTTTATTTATTATCTCTTTTATTTTTATCTCTAACACCTTTATTATCTCTTTTATAAAAAGGAAAACCACACAGATCCAGACACTATTGTGTGAAGTATTAAAGAGATGTCCTTAGGAAAGTATTAAAGAGACAGTCGACAGTTTGCTATCTGTTGTAATAATAAAGAAACTGCAGAAAGAAGATAAAGAAAACATGAGAGACATTAACACAAAAGAGACTTGTGCAATCGTTTAATGGATGCATCACGTATATGTATCTCTCACGTTATTCAACGATACTCAATTAATATGGATGAAATAAATAAACTCCCTACAATTAATATATTATTACTCAATAGTCAATAGTAATACCACATGCAACGTATATGTACTGACCTGCTTAGTTTCGCAAGAATTATTTATGGCATATATAAAATACTGTTGTACAGATTCGACAGAAAGAATATAAATGTTTTGAATATTCATAAATACTTATTAAGGAAAATAAGAAGAGAGGAGTACTTACAAAATGACCAGCTCCTAGAATCCAATAGAAATGGAGATTTTTGAATGATTTAGTGAATCCTCTTGTTGTTGTTCTATCATTTTCACAGTATAGTGGCTCTCTTTCCATCTTCTTAAACTCTTGTAGCCCCTCCCACCTTACATATCATCATGATGATCATATAATAATAAATATCAAACAACCTTTCTTTTTCATATATTAATATTTAATTAATACCAACAACCTTAGCTGCCTTATTCAATATTATTCCCTATGTACCATCATTTTCTATCGCTATTACTATTAATATTTGTGGAACATAGATAGTCTTATACAATGATTCATCGAGGTTTTCCCATTTACATACAACTTGGACTTCATTTTCGTAGATTCGTCACCATAGAATTTATAAGATGTAAAATGGATAGGTCTTACTTGAGCTTGTGAACCCATGCTTCAGTTCCACTTGTTGAGCAGATAACATCAAGCTGCGTATATAAACCACACATGCCATTTTATCTCATTCTTAAAATTAAATTATATTATTTTTTCCGTAAACACCCAAAAAAGAAAACAGTTTTTTTCTATATTTGATATAATTAAAGAGAATATAAAGTTCGTCCATGATGCATGGTCTTACTTGTCCATTATAGATGGTCACATCTATCCCCTTGGCAAGAAGCTCATCGACCTGCCAATATATACATTATTTAATTTATTATTAAAATATCAGATCTAACGTTTCAACTACTTTAGTTTTATTTATTTAAAATCGTTAGAGATTCAGGAAATAATTATTACGCCATCGATCGTGGGTCTCATAAAATCACCTTGCATCGCTGCAAACACATTACCCGAATCGTTCCCCCATCTGTTAATTTTTTTGAAAAAAAAAAAGAATTAACAATCAAACCTATACATTAAACAACAAAAACTGTATAAATTTTTTATATTATAAACGATTATGAAAGTTACTTTTTTTTTTTCCTTTTTGACGAAAAATTATGAAAGTTACTTACACGAGGTCTTTAGGAATAATCTTGAGCTTCTTTTTGATAACACCATTCATCAACGTATCAAGATCTCCTCCATCAACGTTATTCGTACTCCTCAAATCATTTAAATATCTCGAATACTTCTTTAATATTCTATTTTCGTTTCTTGTTTCTTCGCTCGTTGTAAGCGAGAGAGGGTCCATCCCAGAATCCAACATAAAATTGTAAAAATCCTACATTAAAACCACCACTTTTTCATTATTAATTCTCACCTAAATAATTGTATAGATGTAAATAAATGTTATTATTATTATAAACGAGAAAGATAATGAGAGAGAGAATTACGACGGAATTGGAGTGGAGGCTAATAATGGATTCGAGTTCTATCCACGTTTCCGTGGCTTCAACGTATTCACCATTTTTGAGTTGTTTTCTAATCTTCTCAGCTAAGCTGCTCCAACAATAGTTACGTTACATATGGATTAGAGAGATAATTAATTAAGTATTAATTAGGTAAATGGATTTTATAGTAAGAAATACCTATTAGAGAGATCCATCCCGTTATAATCAAGTCTCGACACATAGTTGAGAAGAGGTCCCCACGAAAACTGTAACCATCAATTAGTCAACATCATAACCATATCACTTCTATAAGTTTTTGTTTTACAAGGAAATATACATGTAATACAAATAATGTTTTATGGCTTGGCTATCAATATAGACATTTTAAATAAAATATCGGCATAGAATAATTCTAATACACATATATATATATATATATATATATATTGCATTAGTTTTTATTTTAATGCAATTTTGAAACTTATGATATAGAAATGAAAGTATAAATTTATTTAATTAAAGATTATTCTATATCTTTTTTGATATGTATGAAAAATATATATGACACGTAGTGAAATGACTGTTTCGCTTGTAACAAATATCAAGCTTAAAGAAACATTGATGAAACTCACCACAAAGTCTTCAGGGGATATCCAACTATCTCCCAAAACCACTCCTATTCACACACAAGATAATGAAACATTATTAGAGCACCATTAACGCAAGATTTTAGTGGATTGCTTAGTGATTTTTGGAATTAAAATAAAAAGAAAATAATGAAATAAGGGAGCGTCGATGCTTAATTAAGCGCACCCAAGCAGCGCAGCTTGACACACGTGTCATCTAGACGAGTCTTTCTCTTCGACGAGGGTTTCGTCATACTCCGACCCCCTTGTCTCTTTCTCTCCCTCGGTGAATCCGACTGGATCTTCGACGACTCTGCAGCGTTTTCCTCCGTCAAAGAGAAGCAATTGTTTCCTCCCACTCTGCCTCGGTCTCCTGATCTTCCCCGGACGACGAGGAAATCAAAGAGAAGCGATTTATTTCCTCCCACTCTTCGATTTGTCTCTAATGGCTGTAAGTTTCGCTAATTTGAAATTCAATTCCTTTTTTCCTCATTTGGTAGAGCTTAAATGTAGTAACTTTACTTGTTCAAATAGTATTACGACTTGCAAAAAGCTTCTCACTTTAATGTTTCTAAGCTCTGATTTTCCGAACTCATGATTGTTTATTGTGATTTTAGCTGATGCAACTTCGAAAGATTTATAATTCATCATGATTTCACTGAAGCTTGGTTTTGTAATTGATCCAAGTTTTTTATTTTGATGAGAATTATGCAGACCATACCAGTAGCAGGTACTGTCTTCAGCTTTTCATGTTCTGTTAAAATATTTTTGCAGGACTCCTACATGAACTTGCAGGTACTGTCTTTAGCTTTTCATGTTCTGTTATAATATTTTGCCATTGAAGTTTTGTTTGTTTGTTTGTTTCTCTCTGTTGAGTTTCATCAATCAAGGCAACTAAGGAAAGATCGTCAAACCACAGCAGCGGCCATTCGCTGGAGCAAAACAAGGTAAATGCTTTAATCTTTTAAAGTCATTGTCGTTCTTGTATTTACTGATGAGATGATGTTTTTAGGTTAGTGTTTGGTTGTCTGAATAATGTTAGTTATTTTAATGTTTTAAAGTCATTGAAACCGAATGGTTGGCATTGATATTAGTATTGAGTTGAATCGTGGTGTTTCTTGCTGGTAATGAAAGTGTATTCACAAGAATCGTGGAGAATTAGGAATGGAAGAATCACGGACTAGCGTTTGATCTCTCTGGTCTTTTTGCTGTGGAACTGAATTATGTAGTCTTGTGTCCTATTGTGTTGTCATGTGTAGTGTCGATGTGGTATTGAGTCTTGTGTAGTTGTGTCATGTCTTCTTTGTGTCATGGACTTGTAACAAGAGTAGTAAAGAAACATTGGCATCTTGTGTCACAAAAATAAACATGTTGTTATGTAAAGAAACAATTGGGGTGCTAGGGTTGGACGACAAAAATGGTGAGGTTTCTTAAATAGAGTGCTTAACACCCTTTTATTAATAAAAAAGTGATTAAGCACCTCTAATGGAGTGCTAGGGTTAATGGTGCTCTTAGTCTACATTATTCGTTTCACTTTCTCAAAAGAAAAAATAGAAGAAAAAGCATCTCTTACCTCCAAGATGAAGCTTCAGTTTGCCAGATTGAACCGCGTTGATAACGGATAAACCGAGCTTAACCGCGATTTTACCTCCATAAGATTCAGCAACAATGTATAGAGGGCTTTGGTTCAGAATCTGATTTTTGTTGAAGAGTTGTTGCAACAGTGTTGTCAAGTCCTTGGCTGCTTCTTCATCACTTTTCACATACAAATCCTTCTCTTCTACGAAACTGTACCCTGCTCCAACTGGACTATCCTTTTCCCCATTTTTTTGTATTCATCAATAAAAACAATAATATTAAAACTCAATGTAGCCGAGTCGTAAAGACTCATCAAACTAGATACTACGCAACCCTCATAAATTAGTATATAATTTTATTAGAAAATAATAATGTTGTTGGTAAATGAAAAAAAGTTGAAAATAATACCACAAACAAGAGATCAGCTTTCTTCAACCAAGTAGAATTTCTGGGCTTGAGAAATGTGTTTAATGGACCAACCTCCTGAAAATTCCCTATTCCAACTCCTGAAGCTCCCTGTCACAGAATCAAAATAATTGTAACAATGATCAAAATATTCCAAAGACAAAAAACAAATATATAAAAGACGAACGAGATAAGAACAACATGTTATATAAAAGTAGATACAACCACACATATACATAGAAAACTTACAGGTCCACCTTGGAGCCAGAGGATAATAGGCCATGGCTTAGAAGGATCTTCAACTCTATACGGACTTTTGTAATGCCACCAAAACATGTGTGCTTCTATATTTTCGTTTTAAATTTGGAAACAAAACCATTTAGTTACATATAACCACCAATACACATTATTAACTGCTTGAAATTGGAATGAGAGATAAAGGACGTACTTGGTCTAACTTCGACGTATCCCCAAGCTTCGGATCCATCGGAGTTGCTTCTAGCAGCTTTGGTTTCTCCACTGGTACATGACACAATGAGACACAGAATCACGAGTTGTGCAACTGATCTCTTCATTTTAGATCACGGTTTATGGATCAGTTTTCCTATCTTGATTGTAAAGAAAGAGAGAGAGAAAAATGGTTGAAATACAGAGAGGGATGGGGACACTAGCAAGTGATATATTTCAAAATGTCATGGCACACTAAGTCAATGCTATTGGTTCACCTTATTATATGCATATACGAAACCAATAGTTTAATATTGACAATTACCAAGATCTTTTCTTTAAAATCATAAACCAAATATATTAAACTGATTATTAAAACATTTCCTTTATAAAAATATATTTTCTAATGAAAAAATAGTTTTTATAATTATATTTCAACTATAGATGCAATATGGCTAGTCAAATATTTAATTGAAACTTAGAGGTATTCACTTAAGAATTATCACTTTTTAAATAAAAATAGTTTATATTTACATGGTGATCATATATATAGTTCATTGGTTTGCACTTTGCATTTGTGTCGTTGTTGCTAGGTCACCATCCCACTTTAAACTTTATAGTACATTAAATATGGACCGTGCGTTGCATATATTTTAATTGATGTTTTTATTTCATGATAAAATATAAAAATAAAAAATGTTTTATTGTAATTGTAGGTTTTTTTGCATATATTGTATGAAACATATTTAAGGAATAAAAATTTGTTTTTCCATATAATTTTTTTGATATTTATGTTTACATAATCATAGTACATAAACAATTATTAACAACTTTGTACTTAGAGTTACTGAAAAATCCAGAACCAAAATTCAAATCGAATCCAATCCCAAAAGATTCGAATTAGATTGAAATACAATAGATTACAACGTTGAATCAAACCAATTGTGTTGATGATAACATCATACACATTATTATCCTCTTAATTCAATATTTGTTTTAATTTTCTATGTTATTTTTCTTGTTCAAATATATTCTAATGTTTTCAAGATCCTTTAGTAATGTTTATGTTGTCATTGTAGGATCCATAAATTTTACTGTACATTTATTGTCATCTATATAATTTTGTTTGCATGATATTTTAATTTTAAAGTATTTCCAACCCATTTGATTAAATAAAAATTAATTCCACTCCAATTCTATATTTTCCTAAAATAGAAAATATCTATTATAAAAATGAGTTTTTTTCCAATATATGACTCTATTATAGAGTTTCTTTACTTTAAGAGAAAATGTAGTTGATAATATTTCAGTCTCTATATTTAGAGAAAAAATTAGCAAATCTATGTATTTTCTTAAAACTAGAGAAATTCTATTACAAAATCATACACTTAAGTAAATCGATCTATATAATTTAATTTCTTCATTTTAAGAAAAATATAGAAATGAATATAGATGAATTGTAAATGATCTTACTTGTTTAACCAATGGAAAGCATTAGATCAGCATTTTTTGCATGTAATTTAGAGGTAATGAAATTATTAATAGCCACAAACATATATGTGCATGAAGAAGACCATGTTTCAGAATCTTGATTGTGTGAATAGATGTTTATAAAAATAACTTGATAATGGAAGTTTTATGGAGATTAAAGCTGTAATAAATAATAAATTGTATTACTGTATGTTGTAATTTCATTTAGAAGTTTTTTTGTAATTTCATTTCAAATATACGACTTTCAATATCAGATATATAATTTTGATTCAAGTTTTCTCCCTTTTCTATAATAATAATAATAATAATAATAATAATAATAATAATAATAATAATAATAATAATAATAATAATAATAATAATAATAATAATAATAATTATTATTATTATTATTATTATTATTATTATTATTATCTCACTTTTTATTTGCAGTTATAGTAATAAAATTTTCAAATTGAAATATACATATAACAAAAATTATTCTTTTCTGTACAGAAAATAATTGAAAAATTATAAGTATATATATAAGATATTTAATAATGAGAAAAACTAAATATTTATATTTACATTAAATAGTAGAAAATTAATTCCTATTTGTTTTTAATATTTTTTAAATAATTTCCTTATCAATTTTTAGTAACAATATATTTTTTTTATTAAATTAATTCAGTTTTAAATAATTTCTGAATTCGTTGTTTTTTATGCTACATTTCCATTATAACAATTTAAACAAAAATGATTCAGAAAATGTAAATGATGCATGAAATTTGATTCTTTTTATCAAACACATATAAAGATTAGCTATGGTGATAATAATAATAAATTTGTATTGACCAAAGACTTTAAAAAGCATCAAATATGTGTTTGACTTTTGTATAACCAAACACATATAAAACCTAAACATGACACTATCTTAATTTTTTTTAATGATTATTCATGAAGAATGTAACAATAGCAAAAACGCTACGAGAGTATTATAATACAAAGAATGGAAGTAACAAAAAAGTTTTGAAGTTATATTAAGTGAATTAAAGAAATAGACATCTGTTGATACTAAAATTATATAAAATAAGGAAAATACAACAATTGTATAGTATAATTATGAAAAATAGTTTGTTTCTTTTTACCTTTGTTCTTCTTGTTCTTTGTGCTTGTTATTTCCACAGCTATTATCCATGGGAATTGGCTAAAAAAAAAAAAATTCAAATATTAGGTTACATTTATATAATAAATCTACCAAACATAACATATACTACATTTAATTTTATGTTTTATGAATCTTTATAACTTTGATAAGAAGATTTGATTTCTCTTTTTTTAACGTTTATCTCAAATATAAGTTTTGCCAATAATTTAATGCACATTTTAGAAATATATTCCGATCTTTAAAAGTTACTTTCATATAGATTTTACACAAAAAAATAGGATTTAGAAAATGGAAATTACTATCAAATTTTTTTATTATTATATATTTATGATATTTTTAACACATGTAATAATCTTAAAATATCTATTGTCATGTGTCATGATCATATAAATTAGAAAATTTAAAAACCAAGATTTATATAATAAAAGAGTATATAAATATTTTAAGTTTATGATTATGTAAAACCGAAAATAACTATCTAATAATTTTATATTTAAAAGAAAAATCACAATTAAATATTTTCAAGAAAAAAATCTATGTAATTATTTTTTATAAGGAAGTTGTTTATCTTAAACCAATGTCTACTGATTTGTAATTTTTTTAAATCCACATATTTTATTTGACTTTGAAAATAAGGTTCGTTAAAAAGCATACTACAATTACAATAAAGTTATAGATTTAATAACAAAATTATAAGAAGATTTTAAGTTTATTATTTTGTAAAAATGACTATCTAATAATTTCATATTTAAAATGAAAATCACAATTAAATATTTATAAGAAAAAAAAATCTTGTAATTATTTTCTTATAAGCAAATTCTTTATCTTAAACTAATGTCTACTGATTTTGTAACTTTTTAAAACCCAAATATTTATTTGACCTTGAAAATAAGGTTCATGAAAAAGGAATACCACAATTATCAATACAAACAAATAACAAAACTATAGTTTTATTATATGATACAAATAATTGTTAAACAATAAAAACAGTGACATTTGTGACCTTGTTTATTGGTGTGTAGTTCTGGAACTTCGGGAGGAAAACAAAAGATTATCCCGTTGAACAATAAGTACTATCAGAAGAGGATATTTATCGAAAATCTACGCAACTCCATTTTATCCAATTAACTCTTTCAAATAAAATAATTCATCCATTTAATTTGTCTTTAATTTTTCCTTCCATCCCAAGGAATCATAATGATCAATATTTTTTTTTGGCCAGGTTATAGGCATATCAAAGGCGTCGAGGACGGAAAGGTGGTGAAGTTTCTTAACACTAGAGCAATATCCAGAACTCCCTCTGGTCTTACAAGCTTTTCCAATGAGCTATTATTTCAAGAACTGGTCATCCAAACGCTATACCAGTCCTGACGAAGTCCTATTATGTTGTGACAACAAACATAGTACTTACTGTCTTTTTCTTTGTGCTCGTGTCCAGAGCAGGGCCGACCCTGAGATTTTGGGGACCTATGGCGGTTTCTATGTAAAAAAAAATTTGGGGGTCTAAAAATTTTTTTTGGGACCTATACTCATGTAATTTTCTTCAAAATATTTGGGGGCCTAAGGCAAATGTTTCATTACGCATGCCTCAGGGCCGGCCCTGGTCCAGAGAGAGGAAACAATGCTGAAGTAGTTGATCTGAACGTCAATTTAGGGAACTTATATGACCTCGTGGTCATAAATCATTTTGGTGAGTTGTATGCGTATATGTATGCTTATCTCTCAGCAACACTAATCATTTTCAGTTATTATTTGTTTCTAGGGTTATACAGATAGAATGGGAGATATTCTACAGGTGACTGGATTTACAATAAAACACCTCAGTTTAGATTTGTATGCTGAAAAAATACGGTTATAAGCGTCCATATAGAGAAAAAAACTGAAGAAGACTTAGTAAATGCGAAATACAGAAGTGTATAGTTTAGGTTTTACTCTTTAGTTTATTTTCTTCTTAATGAGACTTAAATCTATTGGGCCGGATCTTTGAACTGGATTTGGAATGGATGAAACCCACTCCAACAGTAGTTATTGTAAAAGTTCAACTTGAGTCACATTTTGATCTATTTTGTATTTTCATTACACTTATTTAACCCAATAAGTTATGCGTATATCAATTCTAGTGAAAAGAAAGGAATTGTTTTAAGCAGGGGGGACGTTCGGGTTCAGTTGGAATCAATACATTTTTTTGAAATTTTGGGATAAGAAATTTAAACTCTAATATTTATAAAGTTTAATTTGGATTTGGTTCAGATCATTACGACTTTGGTTCATATTAAGGTGCCCACTAAATTATGGGAAAAAAAATCTACATATACCTTAAAAGTCTCAAAATCCAAAAATAAAAATAAATATCACATATAAGCATGAATGTTGTATTACCAAATACCTAAAATTGCATAAAAATTAGTTCGATTTAGATATTTTAATGGAGAACATGTAGGTATTTCAGATATTTCCAGTGTCTTAAGTTTTTTTTTTTTGCTATTTTAAAATAGTTATTTGTGGCTAATCTAGATAAGTTTTTTTTGAATCTTTTTAGATATTTTAAATATTTTGTAAATAATTAAATATTTAAGAATACAATTGTGATTTGATATCTTTGAATACCCAAAATGTTTTAGTTTGAGCCAGATTCAATTCTAGTTCTATAGATATTAAAATTTATATTTGTTCGAATATCTTATCAGTTTTAGTTTAGGTTTGGTACTACTTTTTAAGTCGGTTTCGGTTAGCTTGTTTCAATCCAACAATTTGAAATCAAACTTAACCTAATATATCGTGGTCTACAACATTTATCTCATCTTCCTAAAACTATTTCTTTTGAATATAAAAATAAATAATAGAAAAGATACAGAATATCTACCATAAATGGCAAGAGTGTATATCAATGCTTTTTGTTAGTTGCCAAATCAGGTATGACCAAAACATTTGTTTTAATCCGATTTTTAACAAAAACATTAACCCTCTATTAGACACTTAACTACTATTAGACACTTAACTATTGGCTAGCGATTTTTAGAACATTATTTTTATAATGTCTTTGATGCAAAACTTAGACCATCTTTTACTCAGTGTTTTCTTTTTATTATTATAATGCAATCTTATTTCTAATGTTCAATTCTGAAAAGCTATACGAAAAAGCTTGCACCAAAAAGTCTATATGAAAACTATACGGTGACATATGAAAATTATAATACCAACACATCATAATGTATCCAATCACACTCATAATATCTAGTCAAATTCACAGATTGTTCAAACCTTATATCAGCTCCAATGATCAAGATCCGTTCACAATCATGTTGGAAATATTTTTAGCATAAAAAGGTACAAAACAAGTTTTTGGATTGTTCAGAAATATAATTAAACAACAAATCATATTAAAATGCAATTTAAAATTGCATGTCAGAAGAGTGCATGAGGCAGCCTTCTGCTCCCAGTCAAAAGGAAAAATCATCACTACTAGTAAAGAATAGTCTTTCTCTTCTTCTCCTTCTTCTCTTCTGAAAGACTTTTCTTCCTACAAATTAAACACATGATTCAAAAGAAAATTTGAGATGCAAATAAGAACATGCAAACCCATTAACAAAATCATCATGAATCGAAGTACAATCCCATGCAAAGGAGCTGATTACTCGTACCGCAAAACATACTACTGAAAATAAGAAATGATATGCAAAACATAAAATGGAAACCCATGAACACATTAACATTGCTTGAAGTTCAAGAAAAGTCAGATTAAAGTTTAATCTGTGATATATGATTTGGTTGCAAGTATTATACATATATAATATTGGTTTAAGTTTGATAAAGCAATTTTAAACCCTTAAAAGCATCAACAATTCATTGACCTAGAAACAGCTTTAAACTCTCACAAACCTTATAAATTTCTTGACCTAAAAAAATTAAGAGAGATGAAATGATTTACCTTTTGAAAGCAATGTACTTCTCAACCTGTGCCTTCTGCTCAGAGCTAAAAGAATACCATTTTTCATGAGGACATATGTCACTATAACTTCCTAAATCTGCACCCAGAAATGGAAGAGATTAAAGCCACTACATACTCTTTGCCACAACAAACGAAGATAGTTCGTATGTTTCTTTCATACCTTGAAGCAAAATGGGTGGTTCTTCATTGTATGACTTCAAATTCCAGAAAATACCATTGTCGTCCACCTCAACCGGGTTGGTTCTAAGAGCATCGTAAGCTTCTTGACCTATGTAAAACAATAAGATTAGACATATAAGCATCTGTATGCATTGTCACAAAAATCAATCACATGAGTTCAAGTTTATACTGTTAGGTTTCATTTCTAATGCCTTCTTCTTTTCAAAATAAACTTCCTCAGATTCAGCAGACATTTGCGATAAAATTGCAACCCGTTTTTCGATTGTTAATGCAACCCCATTATTATCTGCTTCGACTTTGGCAAAGTCATCTTTTATCTTCTGATACAGTTGTTTTTCCTACAACATAAATGTTTTAGAATGAATTCTAACCATGATCAAACTTAAACTGTAAAAACCTAAGTAGATTTTTATTGTTACCTTAGCTTCTGCTTCATTTTTCTTTTCAACATATTCAAGGTTTTCATGGTTTTCAATGAAATTCTTAACGTACGATATGCCAAGCACTTCATCGCATAAGAAATTCAAAAGCTTAAGCCTTTGTAATGAATCCATCTCCTCATACTCAGAAATGCCTTTTTGAAACATCTCAGGAGGGAAGTCATCAAGCTTAACTTTTGATTTCGCAAGACACTCTCCAAGAATAGTGAACCACCTATCATCAGTTGCATTCATACAAACCGATCTACATAATATTTAAAAATGGAAATTGATCAGATATTATATGCATAATTTATTAGAGAATATTTGATACTTTTTCAAGAAAAAAAATATGCTTACATTTCTCCTCTATCTACTAGTAAAAGAGTCAGTAGCTGGATCATCATCTGGGTAAGTGTAGACTGCTCTTGGCTCCTCATGCTTCCCCCGGATAGAACCTCACGTACAACCAATTGAGCTTGCCCGTCACTCAAACCAAGAACCTATTCATAAGGTCACAGGAAGTGAGAGGAACTATTTGTAAGCCTTTCTTATATTCAAAGTGTTAAGTAAATAGATGATACCTCTCTAAAAGTCAAACAGAACTCTAAAAACTGAAGCACACTTCCAGCATTTTCAGGGTGCAAGTCAACGTTTGACACAGTGATTGATTTGATGCCCTGTGGTAGTTTAACCTCATCAACATGATTCTCTTCAGCAGAATTCTCCAGTCCAATAACATCTCCTGCAGATAAAATAACATAAAAAAAGACACCAAAATCTATGATCGACACGATACAAAAGGATCCTAGCTTCGTACCAGTTTTGCCTTCCTCTTTCATAAGGAACTCAGAGACACTGGAACAACCATTTTTCTTAGCTGTGGCTAACAAGTTCCCAGCAGCCTTCTTACCTTCATTCTTTCTGGAAAAGAAAAAGAAATAAAAATTTATGAAATGTGCCTTGAAGTATATAATGGATGATATATATTTGGAATTATATGTGTTAGGAATCAATCGTCATACGTCGTTTATATAGATACATAGTTACGAGTTTGGTTTGCGAATCTATTTAAGTTGAAGATAAAAAAAAAAAGATATATGATTTTGACTTACCTGCATGTACTACAATTGCAAATTTTCCTACATCTGGGACAAACCCAATCATCATTCTGCGCAGTCTCCTCTGCAGTCTCTCCGTATCTATTAATTCGAGCCAATACATATCATTAGAGCTTACACACCTCTCATAACAAAAGACATAAATCTCAAATCATCAAAACCATACCTGGTCAACAGGCACTTGGGACAATACTTCAACAGACATGTCTTGGTTCCCTTCTTAGCCTTGCAAGATTGAAAAATATCTGATTTCTCTTTACGACACTGCAACCCAAAGACCACTCATCAAAAAAACCTCAAAATGACAAGAAAAAAAAAGTAATCTAAATGCCGAATTTGACGAGTAGTCATCTTAAGTTTCATTGTAATATCAAAACAAAGACGAAGGTCTATCACTTGGTGACAATATTTCATCGGCTCTACGATCCTAATTGGGTCAACAATCTGTAGGTTCGTGATTTCCATAGCCATACTCTCAACAAAAACTCTACTAACAAACTGGAAACAAATCTATGTCTTCTTTTTTTGCAAATCTGATGTTCAAGGTTTGGACCAATCAAATCAGAGTTTATAGTGATTTTAGATTTTAGGATAGTGTTTGTAGATTTCTTTCCGTTTCGGTTATTAAACACAATTTGAAAAGATACTAATGGCAGAAAGGGGTCTAATTAAATTGTACATTTTTTGGACAATCCCACTATATATTAAATGAGAAGTCATTTTATTAATTTTTGCTTATGTGTCACTCATATGTGAAGTTTATAATTAGTTCTCTTTATTTGATTTATTGTTGATATTTGATTTTTTTATTTATTTAATTAAATTGTTTTGAAAGGAAACTAATCATATGATTAACTAATCTAATCTATGTTACCAAATAAAAATCCAACATCTTAAATATAAATGAAATAACATAATTTGTTTATTGAAACAATTAATTATCATAGATTACATTATAAAAATTAAAATATACATAATAACATATGATACTACAAAACAATTTTAAATATATTATATTTACAGTGGATACAATAAATCATATGTTACAGAATTAATTAATATAAACCTAATAATATATCTACTCACTATATACATATATTCTGAAAATGTGTCAAATAAATGTAAACCAGTCAAATATAAATATTTTTAAAATTTCAATCATTTGCAATGACAATGTGATATTATAGGTGGGTTATCACTTTTAGAAAATATAAAAGTATTCTTATATATCATATATCCTTATATATATATATCCCACTATATATTAAATGAGAAGTCATTTAATTGTTTTTTTCTTATGTGTCACACATATGTGAAGTTTAGAATTAATTCTCTTTATTTGATTGGTTGTTGATATTTCATTTTTTATTTAGTTAATAAAAGTTTTTTAAAAAGAAACTAATCATATGATTACCTAATATAATCTATGTTATCAAATAAACATTCAAACATCTTAAATATAAATGAAATAACATAATTTATTTATTGAAACAATTAATTATCATAGATTACATTATAAAAATTGTATTATACGTATAAACATATGATACTACAAAAAAAATTTAAATATATTATATTTACAGTGGATACAATAAATCATAGATTACATAAAATTAATTAATATGAGCCTAATAATATATCTACTCACTATATACATATATTCTAAAAATGTGTCAAATAAATGTAAACCAGCCAAATATATAAATTTAAAAAACTTCAATAATTTGCAATGACAATGTGATATTATAGGTGAATTATCACTTTTAGAAATATTAGAGTATTCTTATATATCATATATCCTTATATATATATATATATTAATTGAGAAGTCACTTAATTGATTTTTGCTGATGTATCACTCATAGAAAAACTCTTCAATTAATTATTTTAATTTTATTGCTTCATGATTTTTTATTTTTGGTTTATTTAATTTAGTTTTTAAGAAAACTAAATTAAGAACTGTAAGTTACATCAATAACCAAAAAAATCATATTCAATTACGGTTATGAAAAATATGTATTTGTCATCAATTCTCTGATTTGTGTTATAAGCTATATTATGCATTTAATAAAGTACATATTCTATTAAAAGAGAAACTGAAGAACTCTCTTTCATATTTATAAATAAAGATACAATTAGTGGTTAGTATATTATTACTTATGTATTATATAGATAATAATATATAAAATTATAAATATTTTAATTTAAAGTAAAATTAAAATTAATTTTAGATAGTAAACATATTTAAGGTATTCCTTCGATGAATTTATAAATTTAGTGTTTATTGTAAAAAATGTATAAGTTTTAAGTGAATTGTTTTAATTTTTTTTTTAAATCTCCTATATATGTTATATATATAACTAAAAATAAAATATAATTAGTAATTTTTGTTAGCTGTGTATTGTATAGAAAAAGATATACAAATATGTATATATAATTTAATCTCGTATATATTCTTTGAGAAATATTACAACATTTGAGGCAGTCACGTGTCATCACCATAATAAATTTTAGAATTCTTAAAAAAGTAAATTACTCTTATATACTCAGTTTTTTATTAAACTAACCACAAAATTTATTTAGAAGTTAATTACGTGACTTTTACTTTTGTATAGCTCATAGGTGAGGTTGTAAAATTGTTATAATAAACTTGGTTGATGACTTTTATTAGATATTTCTTTTCATAAAATCTAAAAAGTAATTCTACAACTAATTAATACAAATACAAAATAACACAAATAATATTACAAATAATGATTTATGGTAGCTAATTACAGAATTATAGAAAGAATATAGAACATATTATCAATTTATTTATTTTTATCAATTATTTATATGTAATTAAATAAAATACTATAACATTTTTTATAGAAATGAATTGAATGGTTTTATATTCTGACATAAAAATTATATTTGTAGGTAAAGAATTGTTAGAACTTTTTATGTTTTTAAAGCACACACTAAAAGTATATACAAGAGATCTTCACTATAAAAGTCTCTGATCATTGTATTGGTCTTATTAGAGCTATACCAAAACAAATTCTTTTTTGAAGGTTAGAATATTTTTTTTGTTCACGTGTTAAAATAAAATATAAAGTAATTCCACAACCAATTATCCGAATTAAGTATAATTACTTGTTGTAAGATTTTTCTTAATAACTAATATTTACGCTGTTGAAATATCTTAAATCTCATCGCTCTTCTAAAACGATATATTGAAATTGTTGATTATCCAAATACTTAAATTTAAAATTAAAATTTTAATATTTTTAATTATTTTAAAAAAAATTATAACATTGTACACATAATATATGTTTCTTCATATAATATAACTATACGTAAAATTACGGGTAAACACCTAGTGTATACTTACATTTCATACACATTAGTCAACTGGTCAATCATGATTCTTTAGTCAAGTTACTGACTAATAAATATTATTGGTTTTGAACATGATTTATGAATTACATTATTTTGGCTATTTGAACAAGTTTAATATACAATTTTAGTATTTGACCAAATATTTATGGTTTTATGTTTTAGTTGCACGTATTTATTTTTGTATTGATTTTCTACTCTTAACGATTACTTCTAAAGTAAGTTAAGATCCACGTTTTCGTAAGATAAGTATTGTACATATTATTTATTTGCGTTCTTTTACATATTATAAAATAAAATAAAATAATGGATATATATTAAATAACTAAGAGTAAGTAATATTACATATATAATTAAATTGGTACATACATATAAATAAAAACAATTATTGTTCTTTTTCAATCATTTAATGTTTAATAAATTCAAAAAAAATACTTTTATCTATTTTCTATAAAATAGAGTTAAATTTAAATGATATTATATAGATAGTAGATTTTTAATATGACTATTTATTAAAAAAGATTTCCTATTCATATGTGTTTTTAGTAGTTTGTATTTTCTTACTAAAATTGTTTAAATCATTGATGACAAAACTTTCAATGTATGACTTTTACTAGTTATAGTTATTGTATATTAATTTATAATCATTATTAAAAATTCAGTGAAACTTTTTCAGTTGAAATATTAAATGCTCTATACTAGTTCAATGCAAATTTAAATCTTTATGTATTTTTATATGGTATATTTTTTAATTTAAACAAAAATATATAAGTTTAAATATCTATTAAATGAGAATTCCTACTCTTATATTTCAATATCATTTGCATCTTGTTATAAAAAGTTTTAGCAACTGATCACAAAATTTTAAAGCTGAGATTTTTTAATATTTTTACTAATTTATTGTCGTTTTAAATATTTAAATTAGAACATGCACAACAAAAAGTCTATATTTTTATTTTATAATTAATGTGATTGTTTAATTTATTTGAATAAAATAAATTAGAAAAAAGAGATAGAGGATACACACGTTATTATCAAACTTTTATTCTTTAAAATCATTAATTATCATTACATATATTTTAATAATACAGTAAAAGCTCTATAATTAATATGTATTATAGAGTTATTAATTTACGAGAATTTCCTTTTCTAGATTTATATTTTTTAGAAAACATTTAGTGTAGTAAAATGAAAAGAATGTGTAATATTATGTATTGATTAGAGTTTATAGATCTGAATTTTAACTTTTTTTTTTAGATTATTAATATATTTTATGTATGATGAATACATATTATATTATTCAAATTCACTTACATATGTAATTTTATAAAATTTAAATTAAATTTAAAGATGAAATTCCTTCGAAAAAATATACACAGTATATAAATTTGTATATTCTTATATAAAATTATATATAAGATAATTATTAATTTATGATTGTAATGGGACTATATATTTACCTAAGAATTTTTAAAATATTATTATCTTATTATTTTATAGAATAATCTTTTATTTAACATCGACCCAAATGGAACGAGAGAAATTATAGTGTTTATTAATTTATTAATTTATAGAATTTCTAATGGATTGGGTATTTAAGGAAAAAAGAATAACATTTATTATATATTAATTAATATATGATTTAATTTAATGAAATATATAATATATGTTTATATGAGTCAGTTTATTTTTCTAAGGACTCTAAAAATTATTCTTGTGATATCATGTGGTATAACTTAAAGGTTGTAATGTTTCTCAAGTATATAAAGATCATGGCACCGTACTTATGTTAATGTAAATAGGGCTGGATAAATAAACTGAATTTGGAAACTTGAACCGAACCCAATCTGATAAAACTGAATTTGAACCGATCGGAACTTGACATAAATATCGAATGGATCTTGTTTTATGGTATTCTGGATTATGGTATTATCTGAACCGAACTCGAACCTAAATGGATATCCGTTAGAACCCGAAACATTCAAAATGCTAAAAGGAACTTGTACCAAACATGATATGAATTCCTAATATGTATCCAAAATATTTTAAGCTGTTATTAAATATCTAAAATAATTATCGATTACATGAAGGTTGATAGTTGAAGGTGGTGATTGAAGCTTGAAGTTTTTAAATTTTGGTTTTGTTTTCATTGAATAATGTTTCTCATTTCATGAGAATTTAGTTTTCGTTTTATGCTTTCATTCATTTGATTTTATTTCTATCAATAACTATGTTTACTTTTCGTTTGATTTTGAATGATCACGTTTGATGTTTCTTTCTTATTTTGATCAATTTTACTTATGTTTTGGTTACAGAATAAGTACAAATCAGATACTTTAAATCTGAAGAAATGTTTTACTTATGTTTTGACTACAAAGTAAGTACATGGATTTTTAGACCAAAGAACCGATTAGGTTATACCGGTACTTTAAGATTTACTAACCCTGACCCAAACTCAATAGAACTTGATTCGGTCCCGAACCGAACTTTTATATAATCCGAATGGAGTTGATTTTGATAAACCCAAAAAACCAGAACCCGATTGGAAAAAACCAAAACCTGATTGGGATCCTGCATGACCAGATCTAAATGTATATTGTGTAAACTTGTCAAGTTTGTGAAAATAAATGGGTACTTTCGAACCAAGTATTTGGGTAATCGAAACTCGATATATAACCGGACCCAAAGTTAAACTTGTTCAACTAAGTTAACGATGTATTACTATATCAGGAAACACAAACTGAATCCAAACCCAAATTTTAATATACTCTAGTGGGATCAAATTTCATGGCACGAAAAAACCCGTACCCGATTGAGGGTCCGACTGGTTTCCCCGCTACCACCCGCAAACGCAGCTTTTGCGGTTGAGGCGGTTACTAGCGTTTTGCAACAATCACAAAAACCGCTATAAATCGCTTCAAACCGCTCCCAACCTCTTAAAATCAAAAGCTGGTTTCAGCTAGCGTTTGCGTTTGCGGGCGTTTGCGGGTGGGTAAAAAAAATCTTTTTCTTTTAAATTTAAATTAAAATATAAAAATAAAAATAATATAACTAAAACTATATCTACCTTTTATTTTTTAATTTAAATTCACTAAAAATATCATAATCTATTTATAAAAACTTTAAACG